GTTGCTGGCTTGGTGATGAGGGTGGAAATGAGACTTTTCACTCTTGTATTTGAACAGGTGAAGCTGCAGTTAAAAACCACGCAGTCTGCAAAATCTTTTAGGAGGTTTAGAAGGTTTGGCTTTACGTACACTCATGGGCTGTGGTCTTGTGAGTTTTCCTGTCCACCGTTTGACCTTCACCAGTCTTGTTGGCTGCCATGTCTTTATTTCATTATGAGCTGAGGAAACAGAATAACACCATCTAACGGTCTTCTGTTTGCATGAAAATGAAACCAATAAATACAAAGTTTAAGGAGTCTTACGCTTTTGTCTTATTGAGCTAATTAAAACATTACAGCAGAAGTGATCATTTCTCTATGGTGAACCTCTCTAAATGCCCTCACTCAGGATCTTCTTCCGTTACTGTTTCAAACACGCTTTAATGTCCTCTATCAGCAATAATCAGTAATCCGACACACTGTTCTCAAGAGTCCAGAAAACGCACAAACCCAAGTGGATCTCCATGACGACGACCTTCGCGACCCTCCAGTGGCATGGTAGTGAGTGGGGATTGGCTGCAGCAGATGGTGACCGATGGCGATCGCAATCATGACAATGATGTCACCTTTTAAGATGCGGATTAATTAAATTCAGTTTGGGTAGCCTTTTTTCCCCTCGTCTGGTTGGCAGAGAAGAGCCACTCAGTTTCAACAGAGAAATGTTGACATGGCGGGAATGGTGTAGAAAGTGTGCATGTGAGCAGCTCCAGGCTAGGAGGCTTTTTTTTTTTTTACTCCCTGCGTTCCTGCTGGTTGGCTTCTGGAAATCCCCTCTCCTTTGTGAATGTTTTCTGTCCTGCAATATTTAAATTTAAAGCAATATGGAGTGAAATGGAAATCGGAATCAAAGCACATGGGAAAATGATTGATTACTCCAGGGACTAAGTGGTTTAAAGGGGTGCTTGTTGTGTTCAGCTGGATTATTACCCTGCTTGTCTGTTGTACCGTCGGACCACTTTGAAGGGATTGAAAGGACCTGCTGGAGCGTGATGGTGTGTGTGTGTGCGTGTGCATGTGTGTGTGTGTGTGTATGTTAGAGATGCTCAGTCCTAGAAGCTAATTTAGAGTTTCAGTTGCTCTAATCCACTCACAGCCCTGCAGAGGTCTACTGGGGCTTTTTGTTGTGGCCACAGGCAAAAACCAACATTTAAACCCATCTGTGGTCTGATCAACTATAAATTACCATTTAGTTTGGTTATACATACCTATAAACCTGCTAGAAATTGCTCTGGCTTGTGTCCTTGATGCTCGCACAAGTTAATAATAGCTGGAATAACTGGGAATCCTTTTAGGGTTGGTTTGAATTTCTTGAGTTTTGTGAAAAATTGTCAAGACTTTACGATGGTCAGAGGCATGTGTCAAAGTGTGAAATTGCTCTTCATGTCGATATTCTCTTCATAAATGATCAAATCAATAAAGGCCTTTGGCTAGCAGTTTGTCTTGGATCAATTTATTTACATAACCCCAACCCTGAAGCATCAAAATGATTCATGCAAGAATGAAACCACAGACTTTTTGAAAACCCAAGGATTTTCCCCTAAGTTGCAATGCTCAGAGCTCAAATTAGCCTTAAGAAAACTAAGAAAGTCATCCTGTGGTTGGATTGGACCATCGGCGTTAACTGACACAGAGCTTACATCTGCTTGGAGGAACAGCTGCATTTGTCTCAGTCTCGTGCTCGTTTTATAAAAATAGCTGCAGAGCAGACACCTGACTGTGTGGGGTCTACACCGCAGCTGGAGACGTCGTCCTAACCAGGCAGAGAAAACGGGATAATGCCATGAGTTACAGATGAGTCATTAAACAGGAGCTGTAGGGACTAAAACCACAGCCTTGCAGCCTTTTTGAATGTTCTTCTAGTTGAAGTCAACATATTTTATTCTTAGAAAGATGCATTATAAGCAGTATTGCATCTTAAAGTCAAAATATTACAACAAGTTACTTAAAAGCTAATTTTTTAGCTTTTAAAAATACTTTTTTTCCTTCAAGTCTGTATCTCACTGCAATAAGTGCATATTTGTGGAGGGTTTCCAAACCTTTGACAAGAGTTTTCAATGTTCTTACTTGAGTGGCTGCACTTATTTTTGTTTCTTGACTGAATTTTTGACATGTTCAAAAACATGTGACACTGTTTCCTTTCAAAATTGTCTGAATTGTTGCAGGCATTTGAAACTCAACTTGGTTTGGTTTTCATGAGTCAAAAGCTGAGACCGCTTTGGGAGGGGTTGGTGAGAGAGAATCGGATGTTCCAAGCATGACCACATACCAAATATATGATGATAAGCTGCAACACCTTTGTAACTAAATTGGGGGAAAAAAAACAGTTCTGGTAAATATTGAAATGTTTTTCACGTTTCAAATTACAAAAGTTTAACTAGTCCTTTCAATGTGATTGAAACTGAAAATTTGCTAATTTTGCAGCTGTTTGTGTCTCCAACTAGCTGTGAGTGTCACCCCGCTGAAATAAGGCCTTAGGTAGATGAATGAAATCCAACAAACCTAGTATAGCAGAGTATTATCTACGTAGAAAGAAACATTTGTGTCCAATACAACCTAATAGGATCATTAAATCAAAAAGTCCAAGTATCAAACCTTGTGGAACTCCATAATTAACTCTGTTTAATTGTGTTTTTCTAAATCTGAATATCATTTGCAAACTTAATCAGTAAATGAATTTAAAGAAGCGAAAAGATAAACTGAAAAAACAAAAAAAAAAAGATATAAAATACAGTGGCTGGGTATGCGTCTTTATTTTTGACAAGTCAATGAGTGGGTTTTTTCAATGACAGGTTTTGTATGTTTTCTTTCAGCTCCGTGTTCTTTTATTCCAGCTGTTCTTCTGTAACTTTCCCTCTAAAGCCCCCTCAGTCTTCGGGTTTTTGTTGATGAAATATCACTTGGAGGGGAAAGCTAATTGTTGAACTTATTACTAAACCCAAACTGCTTTCAAATTCAAATCAAACTGATTTATGGATCTAATTTAAGTACATTTCTTACTTGTACATCTGATGCAATTTGGACAGTGTGTCTAAATGCTTGTGTGTTTGCATGAGTGATCGGGAATTCATGGAAACCAAACATGCTACTAATATCGGTTGAGGGAGGCAGTGGTGGTTTTGGCAGGCCTGTGCGGACATTCTTCATAGAGTCACTTAAAATGAATATAATTTATACATAATCAATCATTTATCATCACAAGAGGATCAATGTCCCAACTGGGCTTCCAGTGTTTGCCTGGGCTCAATATTTTTGGGATTTTTTTTTTTTTTTTGCATGTGTGGAAAAAACTTTGCAAGAAAAGTCACAGATTATCACCTGTCCTGTTGGAGAGCTGCTATAAAACCATGTGTGCACTAGCACCATTGCTAATGAGGGAGCTCAGGTCTATTTATAGCTTTTTCCTGAATATTGCATGACAGAGTCAGAGCAGAGATGGCACAGACACCCTAACTGTACACAGGCAAGCAAGCATTCAGGATTAGGAAAGAACTATCTAATAAATCTACATTTCTGTTCAGCACAGCAAGAATGTGCAACTTTGGAAATGGTGTGTGTGGTTTTTGAAAGTTCTGTGTTCAGATTGTATAAAATGCTAAATGGCCTGTATTTGATACAGCTTTTGTAGAGTCCTGGGACCCCCCAAGGCACTTTACAACACAATCAGTCATACACACACACACACACACACACACACACACACACACACACATTCACATGCTGGTGGGATGAGCTACGGCTGCCCTGGGGCGCGCTGCCGAGCACTGGCGCCACCGGCCCCTCTGTCCACTACCAGCAGGCAAGGGGGGGTTAAGTGTCTTGCCCAAGGACACAACGACGGCAACAAACTGAGCGGGGCTCGAACCTGCAACCTTCCAATTACGGGGCGAGCACTTAACTCCTGTGCCACCGTCAAATTAGGATGGTTTTTGAACATCCTTGTAATTAGCAGAGTTTTGTGTCATTATAGGAACTTTAAAAAGAGCTCAAATAATGAGATAAAAGTTTAAAGTTGTGTTGCTGCCTTGATTTTCCTTAGCTGTCAAGAACATTTGAAACAGTAACCCCGTTTCTGTACCAGTTACACCATTTCTATTCATAAAACCTGTCCTAGCAAATGTGAGAAACATCATGATGTTTTGTGTTTGGATACTAAATTGAATTTTGCTTTGCCAAAACGCCCTTCAAACTTTACTTCTGCAAGATGCGCCAATATAATTTGGCTGCATGGTGGAGCAGTGGTTAGCACTGTTGCCTCGCAGCACAAACGTTGCAGGTTCGAAACTCGGCTGCGGCCTTTCTGCGTGGAGTTGCGTGTTCTCCCCATGCATGCGTGGGTTTCCTCCGGGTACTCCGGTTTCCCCCACAGATCACAACATGCCCTATAGGTTATAAATTGTAAGACGCTTTGGAAAAAAGCATCTGCTAAATAAATAAACATAAACATAATTTCCCACCGAGTTACAACCAGTCAGCAAGAGTTTACTACAAGTCCCGCCCAGCAACTCTGCCAGGCCACTCCAAGAACGATACTGGTTTGTCACTGAAATGGCTAAGAAATTGATTCTTTTGGGCCAGCCTGGTGAAATGGAGACCCATGAAGTTCAAACTCTGACTGCTAGGTGGCAGCAGTTTATACCGCCTTCATTCCGTCGCAATAACACTAGATGTGACTGAGCAGGGTTTGACAGGAGTTTCCCAATGAAATCATCTTAAAAATTACAAATACCATCTGAGTTTCAAAATGACGATATATCGTGTTGTTTCTTCTGTATTGTGATATATATCGTATCGCCAGATTCTTGCTAATACACACCCTCGCTAATAATTCACAAGGACCAGACAAAGCTAGTGTGCTTCATGTCACCTGCCTTGACCTACACAAATACAAATGATCTTTTCGTTGATCCTTCTGAACTTTCTGTCTGAATTTCTCAGTTTTTGCCCCTTTGTGTGTTTGTTCAGGCTCTGGATGTGGATCGCAGTGTTCTCTACAAGATGAAGAAGTCTGTCAAGGCCATCTACGCGTCTGGCCTGGGTAAGTCCTGTAAGATTCTGCTGTCAGGTGGTTTTTGTTTCCTATATTTTTAAACAGGTCCAGCATTTACTGTATTTTTGAATCAAATGGAGATGGAAACGACAGCCATTTAGTGCGCGCGCGTGAGTGAGTGCGTGCGTGTGTGTGTGTGTGTGTATGTAGTGGTCATTTCCGTAGTCTTTGTGGCTGCCGGTGCCGGTGTTGGGTGTTTTCAGTGCCTTTTGTTTGTCCTGCCTGACCGAACCCCGCTGAGACAGGAGAGGGCCCTCTGAACAATGTGCTGAGTGGCTCTTTTTTCAGAACAGTGTGCTCTCTGTTTGGACCAGAGGGACAGCTGTCTGATTCAGAGCCCTAAAAGAGCAGCTGGGGGGTATGAAGCATGGACAGACAAGTGTTCACTATAGCGCTAACTAAACGTATGTGTACACACCAGACTCCCGGGACATGTCAGACTGGTTAAATGTAGCACAAATAAAGCTTTATTTGAATCTGTGCACCAACGGGCAGCACCCTATCTATGCATGTTGGCGTCTTTGTTTTAAACGTGTGAACGAGCAGAACCACCTTTTTACCCTGAAGAATGAAGCTAGTGTAGATTTCCACTGTTGCTTATCAGTGTTTGCAGTAGAAACCGTTCCCTGTTTGTGGGAAAAGTCTCTGAGAACGCTGTTGTGTGCATTCATGACAGGAAGCTCCCATTAACTCGGGTCACCTGTTAACGTTCACCATGGAAAACACTGTTCATATAATAAAGTATTTTGAATACAGCCGGAAAGGTTTCTGTTTTCATTCCCTTTGAAGCTCTCGAGCTGGGGTATCCAAGCTTTTCACAAGAGCTCATGGGCCACAAAATGTCTTTTTTTCTTTCTTCTTTTTTTAAGTAAAAATGATCTAACGGTGGGCTGCATGGTGGAGCAGTGGTTAGTGCTGTTGCCTTGCAGCAAGGAGATTCTGGGTTCACATCCTGACCTGAGGTCTCTCTGCAAGGCGTTTGCATGCTCTCTCCGTGCATGCATGGGTTCTCCCCGGGCACCCCGGCTTCCTCCCACAGTCCAAAAACATGATTGTCGGGTTGATTTTTTTCTCTAAATTATTCTTGGGTGTGAGTGTGTGTGCGTGGCTGTGTGTCTGTGTTGCCCTGCGATGAACTGACAACCCATCCAGGGTGTACCCCCTCCGTTTGCCCGAAGACTGCTGGAGATGGGCTCCAGAGCCCTTGCCACCCTGCGTGGATAAGCGGGAAACAAAAAGGAACGTATGGATGATTTTATGGTCATTTTTTTCACCATGTTTAGTCCTCCTAATGGGTTTGAAACAGACTTAACTATGTGAAAATAAAAATGTTAGAAAAAGTTGATCTATACGTAAATGGCAAATGGTCTGTATATGATAGGCTTCCACAACCCCCGGGCCACATTTTAGACATACTCCACAGCGTGAAACTCAAATAAAAATAAATAATAATCAGGTTTTTTTGCTTTAATAATAGATAACCACAGCCTCAGATTTGTTGCATTTTAAGCTGTTTTTTGTGATTCTGGCATTAGTCTAACCTCACTAAGGCTGTTGGCGTTAATGCACCAAACAGCCGAGGATCGTGTTGCAGCTTTGCCTCCGTTTGTCATTAACTCTCAGTTTACTGTTTTGATTTTACAGCGCAGTTGTTTTCGTGTTTAATTGACGTTTTCACATGCTTCATTTTCTGCTGAGTGTAGCTGCTTTCTGTGAACGCTGCTGCTTTCCTTTTGCTCAACAGCAAATCATGCAAAGGAAGGCACAAGGTGACATTTACAGGAAAGAGCCACCAAATGGGTTGTTTTATTCTTTTTGGGTTTTATCCTACACTAAAAACACGAGTTTATGATTTAGCTGCAGCAGAATACACAAAAGTAGATGAAGTAGAGGTGGTAAAGGAACTTCATTTGCAGAAACGGAAAACAGAAATCAAGTTTTCTTGATCTACGTACATCCCTGCTGCGACTGGCTGTCAGATCTAAAACTCAGCAGGAATATTTTCAGTTTAGACACGAGGAATGGTGAGGGCGGATTATAGAATGTTTGGAATGAAGTCAACAACGGAGCAAGAGTTAACATCCAGAGCTTAGAAGCTGAGTAAGCGATGTGAGCTTCTGTCAGTGGGGAAAATGAAAAGATGGGAGCATGAAAGGTGGAGGAGTTGCACTTGTCAGGGTGTTGGCTTGGAGAATTTGATAAAGAAACCAGCAGAAGGCTCTAAAAAAAGAAGATGGTGCGATCTGTGTAAGTGAAAGAGACACGATTTCCATCTCCCTCTAAATTAAAGTTGTACACTCTTCAAATCTATTTTCACAACAGAGCAATTATGGTCCAAACCTCTGTTAAAGTGCTTGAAAGAAAGGGTAGGGCATCTGTTAATCTGGTATAAAGTTTTTTTTAGATCTGGTATATCATAAAGTAAATAAAGAACTTCCACTGAGATCAAATAAAGCAGAGAATGGATGGAGTTGTTCATCGTGCTAATAATTTACTAGTTTTTGTCATTCTGAGTGTTAAATGCTGTGGTGGCCATATTGAATTATTTTAAGTCCAAATATGGACGTATGACGAGTGTACCTTGTTTAGAATTCAATGTTGTAGGCAAATAAGATATTTTCTGTTTATTTCTATACAATCAATCAAATTTTATTTGCATAGCGCCATCCACTGCCTTTACAGAAGCCCAAGGCGCTGAACTTAAAAACAGTAAAAGAGCAAAATGACAGACAGATTCAAAACTGCATTAAAAATGAGTAAAATCATAAGACCGATACGATAAAAGACTAAAAATCCATATTATGTAAAAGCCAAACGATAAAAATAAGTCTTCAATCGACTGTTGAAGACCTGCAGTGATGGGGACTGTTTGATAGTAAGTGGGAGCTCATTCCATAGTGTTGGAGCAAGGACCGAAAAGGCCCCATCACCTCTTGTTTTGAACCTTGTTCGTGGGACGATGAGCAAATCCTGATGGGGCATGCATCTGTAACAACCCAGGCAGATATGGTGGGGCACCACCATGAAGGGCCCACAAGACAAACAACAGAACTTTAAACTTTGCCCAGTAAGCCACATGGAGCTAGTGTAGGGAAGCCAGGACAGGAGTAACATGTGTTGTCCAATGCACCCATAAGGAGACGTCACTTTTTAATAATAGTTCTATGAGGTCATACAAACCTCCATTTATTTCAGTAATTAATCTTAGACTGAGAGAACATCTAAAGGCTCGGAAATCCTTTGCAGGTTTTGGATTCATTAGCTGATTAGAGTGTGACACTTTGAGCCTAGAATTTTTAACTTTTTCACAATATTTGGGATGATCCAGCTGAAATTCTGCCCTCATTTCACCTTTTAAGTTGAATCACTGAAATAAAATAACTTTTGCACCATATTCTTAATTTTTTGAGCTTGCCAGGTTATTGAAGCAGTCCTTTGTGACAGCCGAAAAACACAGAGTGAGAGCCAGGCTTTAAGAAAACAAGATGTTGCTGGCCATGCCCACCCATCCCCTAATTGGCTGCTAGTTCATAGCTAGTAGGGGCTTCCATTACCGGAACTTGAGGGTAAATGCAGAGAGAGGGGAATTGACCGGGAGATCCAAAGGCCCGGTCCTGTTAGCTGTCGTGTCTCCATTTACAGTTTGGCCCTGTAAGGAATGTGCTAAAACGCCAGCACATCGCCACCCTTGCTCTATGAGTCATGTCATCCATTGGCGCAAAAACCGCCAACAACTCGTGTTTTCCTAAATTACGATTTTTGGCCCTGTATGCATTTCCTTTTTTCTACTGAGTTGACGTAATTTCTGACTGAGTAAAGCTGGGCGGACACTGTGCGACTTTTTCACTCGTAGCACTCAGCTTCAGCTCAAACTGTACGACTACCTGGCAGGGCAGTTCTCACGAGTCATGTGCTCACACTGTATGACCCAGTTCTCGGATGCGACCTGACTGCTCACACTGTACGTCTGGTAGCAACACGTCGGACCTAAAAATATATGCTAAAAATATCAGTTTTTACTCAACACGTCAGACGTTTTAGTCTTGTTTTGCCTGCTGTCCTTCGGGAGTGCTGCAGGAGGACACACAGGGATTTATGGGAGTTGGATGAGGAAAACGAAATAAAGAAAGTAAATCTGTGTTTTGTGATCAGTTTAATTTGACATGAACACGACAAACACGCTTTCTTGACAATCCTTGTCATTGTGTGTAAAAGACATGTAGAAATAAAAACGAACAACGTGTGTTATTGGGGAAATAGCGGGTGAGCGGTGCTGATGCAGGATTGCACATGCACCGTGAGCAGTTCTGGTACTTTTTGGGTCGCAGCCGCTCACAGCGCCGCTTCAACCCTCACGAGGAACGAGCAAAATATCAAACACTCCAGAAGTCCGTGCGAGCTCACGATTGTTGATCGGTAGCTGGTCAGGTGGTGTTAATCGCCTCTCGTAACCCCCGTACACTACACGACGCTCAGCGCAAAACTCTCCCCGATCTTGTGGATTCTTGCACGAGTGGAAAATCGGCTCAAAAAAGTGAAAAAGTCGCACAGTGTACGCCCGGCTTTACAACCAGTCGTCGGTGTTCCCACCCACCAACTGCACCGGGCCTTTTATCGGGCCACTCTGAGTACCTACCTTTGATGAGGTACTCAGAAGGTTCCAGAAAACGGCCGTTCGGCCAACCCGCTCAAGTGGTGACACACGCATGTTAGTAGGTTCCTGTAAATTTACCCTGAAGTTCCGGTAATGGAAACACACCAAATGTCCCTGATTGTGATGTCATAATGAGGGACATTTGAAATGGCTTGTTTTGGATGCATATTCTGTAAACAAACAGTGGCAGACAAAGGATGGGGAGTTTTTCTTCATGTTAGGAGTGTTTATAGAGGGAGCAGAGACTCGCGTCAGCACAAAAGGATGCAAAACGTGAGTTTTCTATAATATGTCCCTTTTTAAATATGCATAAAAACAAACACCTGTGCTGTGAACAGGAAGGCAGATTACCAGTATGTGCTGTGTAACCAGTCTTTAATCATCTACTTTATCTTCCCACTTCCACTTCTTTCTCACACCTTGTTTGTCCTTCCCTCTCTCTGAATAGAAATTACACTCCCATCTCTCTAAGCTGGTGTCCATATTGTCTGGTGGACATGGAGTTCATTGTTGTTTTCACACAGTCTGCAGAGATACGGTATTAATCTGAGGTCACACATTGTGTTGGGGTGCGTCAGCAGATCGGGCCTCGCAGAGCCGTGTGAGACGGAGTGAGTGTGTGGGAGAGGGAGGAAGCAGGAGCCCGTCTGTTTTCTGATGATTAAAGTGTGTGTGTGTGTGTGTGTGTGTGTGTGTGTGTGTGTGTGTGTGTGTGTGTGTGTGTGTGTGTGTGTGTGTGTGTGTGTGTGTGTGTGTGTGTGTGTGTGTGTGTGTGTGTGTGTGTGTGTGTGTGTGTGTGTGTGTGTGTGTGGTAGAAACAGCTGCTAAACAAACCTTTAGGATGTTAGATAATTCTCAAAAGATGCCTGGCAGCTGTACTTTTATTCCTTTTCTTTGATTTTGTTATGCAAAGTGATATGATATAGTGAATAAAGCATGCAGCATGCAGAATAAAGCATAATTAGTGTGTTTTAAAGGTGTGCACGTTCCATAGTGAGTCAGATTTAGCAAATTGCACATTTTTAGGTGACATTTGCAGGCTGTTGCATTTCACTTCCACAGACTCCCCTGGGGTCCACAGAGCTGCTTGGCACTTAATGTTTGCATGTTTGATGTGTTTAGGTCGTGTTACCGTATTTACACTTTTATTTGGCAGCCCAAGTGTGTGTGTGTGTGTGTGTGTGTGTGTGTGTGTGTGTGTGTGTGTGTGTGTGTGTGTGTGTGTGTGTTTGTGTGTATTAGAGCTCTCATGTGCCACTTTAGAAATGCCAACAAGCTGTTGCTGTGTTGGCTCAGGGCTGAAAAGGACCACGACCCGTTCGGCAGGATATGATTGGTAACTATCATTTGTTTTAACGTGTCACGAATAGAATTTGTTTATGAATCACAATCAAGTCACTGTTTGAGCTGCGTCATCAAACCCTCTGAGCACAAATCTTAAGTTCTTTGCTTGGAGCAGCGGAACAAGAAGCGAAGCTGGAGCTGGGCTAGCTATGTTTGTTAGCATGTTAAATTATTGTATGGTTACATTGGCTGAGCGGAGGTGGAGTGGCTTTCCAGTGTCCCAGTGGCTTCTGTCTCTTATACCTTCAGTCGGGACAGTCTGGGCAACTCCTGATTGGGACCGGACTATGATGAGTCCGTCAGAAGCGTGGAGGCTCTGCGGCTGTTGTGTGGGTACATTTTGTTAGGAAGTAAGGCAGAAAAGTCACCAACTGTTGATCGAAAAATCACGATAACATTTACGTTTACATTGTCAGATTTCTCATCATCAGAATACTCTGATATATCACAAATATGTTTGGGTCGTAGACCCTTAGATCCCACTCCCAAAGCCTTTTAAACCTTTTTCCTTTTAGCTTTGCAGTAAATCCTACACCAGTCTCATTACAGAGACTCAATACTTCAGAGCGTTTGCTGTTTTAATGAATTCTTCCTCATGTGGGGACGTCTGCAGGTAGACTCGGAGTATCTTTTTAACAACCTGGTGTATATCTCAGCAGACATGATATGATCTGATTGAGCCTCATCCATAACCCTGCTGCGTGTGTGTACTTAAAAGCTGTTAGTCTGACTCATGTTGTGGTTTCAGGTGCTCCTTTTCTCTCAGAGTTTTCCTTTGTTTTTTTACCTCTCTGCCTTTATTGCTGCTTTCTGTCATTGTCGTCATAGCAACAGCCTCCTGGTCCCCTGCTTCACTTCAGCCTCAGTGGTATTGGTTATTTTCATCTGCCCTGTCTGGCATAAAGAGCGTTAGCTGGAATCGGCTCAGGCTCGGTTCTAACGGTCACTTGGGCTCAGACTAACGGAAGCAGGTTTTTTTATGCTTAATTTAAATTAAAAGTGAAGAACTAAAAAAATGTGCATGTGTTTAAAAAAATGTATTCATAATTGTTAGAAATTTAAAGCATACATTTAATGAAAGCTTTAATCTGTAAAAGGAAGTTCGTGTCAAATGAAGCATTTAAAAATATTTATAGGAAAATGAATCAAGCAAGCTTTAGTTTAAAAACTAGTTTTCTTGTCCGGGGATTGGACCGCCAAGGCTCCCGCCTTGGTCTGCCACCCGATTCACATTGCACCGGACCCTTCATGTTCCTCCTGCGGGTGGTGGGTCCACAGTTGGACGAGCCCATGTATCCGGTTCGGGCTGGGCCCGGCCGGGCCCCATGGGCGAAAGCCCGGCCACCAGGCGCTCGCTCACGGGCCCCAACCCCAGGCCTGGCTCCAGGGTGGGACCCCGGTAACCCTCCGGGCCGGGTACTCCGACTCTTCGTTTTAACCGCCATGAAAGATCCTTCGAACCGTTCTTTGTCTCACCCTTCACCTAAGACCAATTTGTCATGGGAGACCCTACCAGGGGCACTAAGTGCCCCAGACAACATAGCTCCTAGGATCATTAGGGCACTCAAACTCCTCCACCACGATAAGGTGACGGTTCAAGGAGGAGCTCAAGTGGAGGAGTTTAAGTATCTCGGGGTCTTGTTCACGAGTGAGGGTAGGAGGGATCGGGAGATCGACAGGCGGATTGGTTCAGAGCCAATCTGTCATGGTGAAGAGGGAGCTGAGCCAGAAAGCCAGACTCTCGATTTACCGGTCGATCTATGTCCCAATCCTCACCTATGGTCATGAGCTTTGGGTAATGACTGAAAGAACGAGATCGCGGATACAAGCGGCCGAAATGAGTTTCCTCCGTAGGGTGGCCGGGCTCAGCCTTAGAGATAGGGTGAGGAGCTCGGACATTCGGGAGGGACTCGGAGTAGAACCGCTGCTCCTCCGGATCGAAAGGAGCCAGTTGAGGTGGTTTGGGCATCTGGTCAGGATGCCTCCTGGACGCCTCCCCGGGGAGGTGTTTCGGGCATGTCCTGCCGGCAGAAGGCCCCCGGGTCGACCCAGGACACGTTGGAGAGGTTACATCTCCAATCTGGTCCGGGAACGCCTTGGGGTCCTGCCGGAGGAGCTGGTGGACAAGGCCGGGGAGAGGACGGCCTGGAGCTCCCTAGTTGGGATGCTGCCCCCGCGACCCGGACCCGGATAAGCGGAGGAAGACGAGACGAAGCTTTAGTTTAAGGTGTTTTGTTTTTTCTGGTTTCATTTGAGGAAAATGGGATTTCTCCAAATTCTGTAAAAATGGACGACACCTGTGATTATTTGGGAGATGAACTGAGCTGTAATTTAAGGTAGAAATTGATGTTTTACAGTGAAGAAGCAGCATTCAGTTTTGATATTCTGTGATTGACTCTGAACTTGTAGCAATCAAAGAGAAAACAGCCTCGAATTTTGTTCCTGCTCATGTCAAAAGTGTGTGTGTGTGTGTGTGTGTGTGTGTGTGTGTGTGTGTGTGTGTGTGTGTGTGTGTGTGTGTGTGTGTGTGTGTGTGTGTGTGTGTGTGTGTGTGTGTGTGTGTGTGTTGTGTTCTAGCCCACGTAGAGAACGAGGAGCAGTACACTCAGGCCCTGGAGAAGTTTGGAGAAAACTGCGTCTACAGAGACGACCCTGATCTGGGTTCAGCCTTCCTCAAGTTCTCCGTTTTTACCAAGGAGCTCTCGGCACTTTTTAAAAATCTTGTAAGTGTGTGTGTGTGTGTGTTAGAGATGGAGTTTGGTTAAATCATCTGGGATAAGGCTAGACTTCATTGCATTAACTAATTGTATTGTTTCTCCCCCTGAGTGACTTGGTGTGTTCTCCAACACTCACAAGTCTGAGCACACACCGAGTCCAGCTGCAGCTCGAAGCCTCGAGGATGTGCCTCGAGATTTCCCACTCATTTGGCCTCAGAAGCTGCTCTGCTCTGTGCTTCATTAACGTGATCTGGGATAACTGAAACAATGATTTTGGCCTTTAGAGTCGCAGGTGGGAGCTAAATAAGAAAAAACAAACATAGAAACTTTAAAAAACTTTTTAAAAAATGTAGGTAATTTGAAGAAAGTGTTCCTGCTTACAGCTCTTCAGACTATCCCCTGGAAAGGTTAGCGTTATCTACTTTAGTAGAAAATAATTATTTTAAGGATTTATTATGCAGATATTAGCAATGAATATAAATATACATTTAAATTAAATCCTGCAGCAGCACCTGGCTGCCCGGAGATGTCTCTGACTTTAAAGTGGCTTTACTAAGGAGGCATATCGGTCAATGGTGATATACATTAAAAAAAAAACACCAAATATAGCCCGATATATGGAGTCTAAGTCACTTCCGCACCATGGGTCCCCAGAAGAATGAAAAAATGAATGCATGACAACGGGGCTAAAAACACTATTTTCTAATTCGCTTTGCCTTACACCCTGGATCACACATACAGGTGCTGGCCAGTAAATTAGAATATCATCAAAAGGTTGAAAATATTTCAGTAATTCCATTCAAAACGTGAAACTTGTACATTATATTCATGCAATGCACACAGACCAATGTATTTCCAATGTTCATTACATTTAAATTTGATATTCATAAGTGACAACTAATGAAAACTCCAAATTTGGTATCTCAAAAAATTAGAATATTCTGAAAAGGCTGAATATAGAAGACACCTGCTGCCACTCTAATCAGCTGATTTACTCAAAACACCTGCAAAGGCCTTTAAAAGGTCCCTCAGTCTTGTTTTGAAGGCACCACAATCATGGGGAAGACTTCTGACTTAACAGCTGTCCAAAAGACAATCATTGACACCTTGCACAAGGAGGGCAAGACACAAAAGGTGATTGCTAAAGAAGCTGGCTGTTCGCAGAGCTCTGTGTCCAAGCACATTAACAGACAGGCGAAGGGACGGAAAAAATGTGGTAGAAAAAAGTGTACAAGCTCTAGGGATAACCACACCCTGCAGAGAATTGTGACGACAAACCCATTCAAAAATGTGGGGGAGATCCACAAAGAGTGGACTGCAGCTGGAGTCAGCGCTTCAAGAACCACCACGAGGAGACTCATGAAAGACATGGGATTCAGGTGTCGCATTCCGTGTGTCAAGCCACTCTTGAACAAGAAACAGCGCAAGAAGCGTCTCGCCTGGGCCAAGGACAAAAAGGACTGGACTGATGCTGAGTGGTCCAAAGTTATGTTTTCTGATGAAAGCAAGTTCTGCATTTCCTTTGGAAATCAAGGACCCAGAGTCTGGAGGAAGAGCGGAGAAGCACAGAATCCACGTTGCATGAGGTCCAGTGTAAAGTTTCCACCGTCAGTGATGGTGTGGGGTGCCATGTCATCTGCCGGTGTTGGCCCACTCTGTTTCCTGAGGTCCAGGGTCAATGCAGCCGTCTACCAGGAAGTTTTAGAGCACTTCATGCTTCCTGCTGCTGACCAACTTTATGGGGATGCAGACTTCACCTTTCAACAGGACTTGGCACCTGCACACAGTGCCAAAACCACCAGCACCTGGTTCAAGGACCATGGTATCCCTGTCCTTGATTGGCCAGCAAACTCGCCTGACCTTAACCCCATAGAAAATCTATGGGGTATTGTGAAGCGGAGGATGCAATACGCTAGACCCAACAATGCAGAGGAGCTGAAGACGACTATCAGAGCAACCTGGGCTCTCATAACACCTGAGCAGTGCCACAGACTGATCGAGTCCATGCCACGCCGCATTACTGCAGTTATTGAGGCAAAAGGAGCCCCGACTAAGTATTGAGTGCTATACATGCACATTCTTTTCATGTTCATTCTTTTCAGTTGGCCAACATTAGAGAAACAAACATTTTTTCATTGGCCTTTAGAATATTCTAATTTTCTGAGATACCAGATTTGATGTTTTCATTGGTTGTCACCTATAAATATCAAATTTAAATGTAATGAACATTGGAAATACATTGGTCTGTGTGCATTGCATGAATATAATGTACAAGTTTCACGTTTTGAATGGAATTACTGAAATATTTTCAACCTTTTGATGATATTCTAATTTACTGGCCAGCACCTGTATGTTGTACTGCAATTTAAATGAAAATTAATGATGGGTGTTTCGACCACGCCAGTCACGCACTTTGAGATTTATTAGCTTGTAAAAGTTCGTAATTAATTAGAAATCGGCACGTCGCATATGTGACGTCACCACATAATCTCCTCTCCCCAAAGTAGGTGCTACTTACCAAATGACCAGATTCATGGTGGTTCTTTCCTCTTGTGGGAAGTTTGCTGAACTTACAGCCATTTTCGCTCAGTTTTCTCCGTGTCTGGTTCGATGACGTCACTTTCGTGAAGCACATTTGTAGTCCTGGACTTATTTTCACACAAAACCTAAAATAGCCTTCTCCCTATTCGAAAATAAGCGCCTTCTTGGTATCAAATGCGTCTTTAAAATTCACGGACATCATATGTGAAATCCATGGCACAAAACAAGCGGAGTTGGAAAATAGCGTTTTTAGCCACATTGACTTGCATTCATTTTTTCGTTCTTCCGGGGACCCTTGGTTCGGAAGTAGATGAGCCCTTTATCGACCGACTGATATATCGATCTACAAATTTACGAGAATAGATGTCGTCCTACCTTTTCTTTGCTTGAATTTCTCCCACAGACGGCTCTTACCCCGGCTTTCCACGGGAGCCGTCAGCAGCACGTTACTGCAGCAGCACGTCATAGCTGCTGATAGGAACCGCTGTGGTCAACAGAACCTTTTCCACTGGAGCCGTCAGCAGCGCGAGTCGGCCGCGTCTCAGGAGCAGCATGTCGCGGCCTTTACGCGCCGGTTCTATTTTCTACGCGCGACGCCTCTGAAATGGGTCAAGTTCGACATTTTTGGGAAGGAAAGACAGGAAATTGGACGCGGAAATGGAGAGAAACTCCCGAGATTTTCAGAATAAAGAACGTACTGCCTTCCGGTTGCTTTACTTTTAAAAAAGGTTACTAACTGCGGCCCCGTGAGAAGTTAACACCTAGCTAGCGGTCTCCTTCGTTTTTCAGGTCCGTATTGGCGATTATAAAACGGACAGAACATAAAACACAAACCATGTTGTAGTTTTCTCCTGCTTGTTGTTGTGTTTACTGACGAAGTCACTCGTGTGACTTCGTGCTCTGTCGGTGACAGCTGCTCCCCTGCTGCTTCGCGTCTCGTGGGAAGGGCCAAGCAGCAGCTTACGCGAGCAAGACGTGCTGCTGCAGTAACGTGCTGCTGACGGCTCCCGTGGAAACCCGGGGTTAGAGTTTTCTCACAAACCAGCTGCAGTAGCTGTTGGAGCCATTTTTGACTTTTTGACCTTCATGTCCTTCTCTTCTGTTTGAAGACTTTCTCTCTTAGGGAATCCTGCTGAAAATAGTCCACTGGATTGCAGTCCTGGCTTTGCGGTTCCTGATTAGAGACCACATCCTCCAGATGTTGTGTTCTGCAGCTTTTGGGAGATGTTGTTGAGTTTTCCTGATATTTAAAGACAAATATCAGTGTTGTCTTTCTTAGGATGTAAATGAAGACAGTCCAGAACCACAGCATTTTTCAGACTCTGTGAAATGGATATAAATTTGAAGCTGAAGTTTTAGGAAAATGTTTACATCTGTGTAAAGATTTGAGGACATTTTCAAGAAACTGTATCAAAAGATTTTTTAATTGGCTTGTTAAAATCCAATCCCTTTTTTGCCACTCATTATACAAAAACCTATCGTCTAACATTATTGAAATTAGATAATTTTTGCAGATGTTTTGAAGCTGATGAAACTTTTTTTTCTATTTTCTTTTATTTTTTTACCTGCTTGTGGCTTCAAATGAAAGACCACATGGGGCTGTGCCGTTAGGACTGAGGGTAATCCTCGGTTTAAGGATTCACCTTAAATCTGCTGCAGCCTTGAATCTTTTAATCTTTAACTCGTATTTGTCTTCACCCTCCTCTAGTTCCAAAACATGAACAACATCATCACCTTCCCTCTGGACAGCCTGCTGAAAGGAGACCTGAAGGGTGTCAAAGGGGTAAGGACACTACCATGCTCGTTTTATTGGGCTGAACAGGAAAGAGTCACGGGAATGAAAAGTTCAACAATTTTTTGTTTTATTATCTCTTGAAATACCTGAAAATAAAGTTAAACTAAACATCTGACTGATGCAAAAAGCTGTTTTTGGATTGGGGTTCGGATGCAGGATTCAGGGTGAAAAAATCTGATGATAAATCCAGCAGATGGTTGATCTCCACTGGAGGCCTCGCTGCTGTTTCAGAGAAAATGTTTGGCTGACATTAGAGTGATGCAAGCCAGATAACATGTTTTCATGTACATCAGACAGACTTCCTGTTCCCAAGAGAAAAGGTAAAAATCAAGCTGAGACGGCAAATCAAAGAATGAATTAATCATAGTGTTAGTTATAGCACATTTCACGCATCATTATGAATGTTGTCTAATATCACTTTGTGCTGTTATTCTGTCTTTTCCTATCTCCTTGGGGTGGTTCGTCCCGCAAGGCTCGATACTGGGACCTTTGTTATTCTCAATTTATATTCTCCCCCTGAGTGATAATCCTGCATAGGTTTGACATTAGTTTTCACCTCTTTGCTGATGATTGCCAGCTATACTTGCCCCTGGAAAAGTCAGGTGATTGCCTGGTGGTCGCCCTAATAACAACCTCTTTGAGTTTTTGGCTGCGGTCAAGTCGTGGATGTCCGAAATGTTCTTGTCTTAATGACAGTAAGATGGAGGCAGTGTTTATTTGGGCCAAATGGTCTTATTGATGCCTCTACGATTGACTGTGGTGTTTTCAGCTCTCAGTTGAGTGCGTCAGCAGTTAATCTTGGAGTATGGATAGATGGTGCCCTCTGCTTTCATGGCCACGTTAATGGAGTGGTTTCTTCCTCCTTTCATCGTTTGCAACGATTGTGCAAGGTGGAACCATTCCTTTCAAGATGTGATCTTAAGGCTCTAATTCAGGCCTGAACTACTGTGATTCAGTTGTATTCGGTGTGAGCCAGGGTACTCTAGCTATTGCAGCTAGTGCAAAACACAGCAGGTACATGTTTAGTAGGCAAGCAGAAGTTTGACCGTGTAACTCCACTTTTGACTGCATTACATAGGCTGGCCGTTGCCTTTAGACTTCTTTTAAAGTTCTTTTATTGATATGAATGGGTTGGCGCCTTACTACTTGGCAGCCTTGCTACAGCCTTATGCCCCTGCTCAGACGTACCGCTCTGAGAACTTTCTGCTGCTCTCAGTCCCAGGTCACTCTTGGCGAAGAGAAGGGATAGAGCCTTCTCAGTGGCAGGTCCGAAGCTTTGAAACAAGCCTCCTCCATCCATAAGGGCTTCTATCTTTGTGGCGTTTAAAGACAAGGCTGAATATGTACTTTTATAATTTGGTGTTTACATTAGTTATGTTTTTATTTGTTCTTATATAACTTGTGTTACTGTTTTATCGTGTTATATGTATGCTTTAGATGTTATCAGTTTTATTACGGCTGTGAAGTACCTTGGTGTCGTATCCTACGGCTGTAAGGCGCCCTACAAATGAAGACTGTTTAGTTGAGAAAATGTGTCAGTTTGGGTTAATTTAAACTCAAGATGGTGACATGCAGGCAGTGTCCACTCAACAGTGTCCTCGACAGTTTGTGACCTTTCACTCTAAATCCACATGATTGGCTTTGGTTTCCATGAGGTTTCATGCGATTAAAGTAAGTCGTCTAATGAGGCTTGTTGCCATGGATGCGCTGTTTGTCCTCATGACCACCGGCCACTTGGCTGCCCCTTCTGTCAGTGACGATCTGCTCCTCTCCTTGGTGATTTCCTGTCTTTCTCATGTCTTTGTTTTAACTCCGAAGTCTGTGTCTTTCCCCGGAATACTGGTCTTTTTATATTCCGCTCGAGTCCCGCTACCCCCCGTCCATCTGTGGCTTTACAGCCACATCTGTAACACTTACCCTTTCATTACTCATTAGCCCTCAGATGATTCTCATTACCCCATTAGCAGAGGGCTAACAAGCTGCTGTACGCTTTGGACACATTTGCACACATTCCTGAAAATGTTTCCAAAGGAGTTGATGTAACAAAATACAGGAATTGAGCCACGAGTGCTAGAAGAAAAATGAATTATAGATAAAAAGGACGGGCTGGGACTCCCTCCAAATATTTGAAAGCTTGCTCAGCTCCGTAGCCGAAAGGCTTTCCCTCGTCTCGCCCGTCCCATTCATCTGTCGTCATCATCCGACACTGCTGGGGGAAGGAAAGACTCCAGACCTGCATGATGGGCTGTTTAGGCTGCAGAGAGAGGAGAGTATGGTTAAGTAAAGAGTTGAAGTGGATGCTGTAAAAGATCAAAGACTTCTGTATTGACAAATTAGCTTGTATGAGATAAGAGAAGGCGTAATGGAAATATCACTCCTGGTTTAAAACAACCTCACTCATTCAGGGCTGTAGAGTTCCAAGAGGAAATGGAATTCAGCTCAAAACTAAAACCTGTTTTCAAATGGTCATAAATTTGAGGCCGACCGATATGGTTTTACTTTTTGTTATACGGATACCGATTTTTAAAGAATTTTGTTGCAGATGGCCGATTATTAAGGCACATACATATATATATATGTATGTGTGTATATATATATATATATTTATATACATACATATATATATATATATATATACATACACATACATATATATATGTATGTATATAAATATATATATATATATACACACATACATATATATATATGTATGTGTATAAATATATATATATATATAAATGCCTGATTTTTACTTATTTTTTTATCTGCTTCTAAAAATAATTTCGGCTGATGGTAGATATACAAAAAAATTGTATGTATCGGCCCGATATATCGGTCTGCCTCTATCATAAATACACCATGAGCCCATTGGTGGAAGCAGCCATCACCCAAAAGCTAAATAATTGAGGCAACCTTCTGTTAAAGTAAGCTCATATTCTCTACAAACCCAAAAGAAGCACTTGTTTAATTGCTCTGATTTGATTTGATACGCAACAAAAAGTCTTTCATTCATAGTTTAATATTCCACCAGAGCTGTGCTCGGCAGTGACTGAGGTGACCCCTAGGGATGCAGCCACTAATGGCTCTGTTATTAGAGTCCTATATCACCTAGTAACCTGTTTCCAACTCCATCCTCCCCTTAGACGTTCCAATCACACCCTTCCACTAAGGGAAAATGGGAATTTAACACACAAACACACTTGTAGATTGCTCTCCTCATAGCAGAACAAACTCAAGTGCATCTGGAAAGTGAAGAGTCCACTTTAGAGCTCCATGATGTTACGTTTGAGTATCGCCGTCACAACGTACGTAGTCTTATTGCAGGTCTTATTCAATGTTATGGGTACTCGACATGAACGCGATGCAGCGATCCATACTCTGCTGAAGGAGAACGTCAGGGAAAGGATTTTGTGATAAAACATGTGAGATTCCATTTCTGGTTTCTTTTTAAACACCGATTATGTTTTTCTTTACCTTGCTGACGTTTCGTTTGCGGCTGCAATCATCTTCAGAGCTGACGCTGATGGTGGCGTCACTTCCTACTCCGTTTATCCGCCACCATCAGCGTCAGCTCTGAAGATGATTGCAGCCGCAAACGAAACGTCAGCAAGGTAAAGAAAAACCTTATCTGTGTTTAAAAAAGAACCAAAAATGGAATTTGAAGACAAACACAGCAAGATTGTACAAAAGATGTTTATACATGTGAGATTTTTTTTTTTTTCCAAAGTTCATTTTCCATATGCTTCATCAATCAACAGCGGAAGTTCTGGTGGAAACTTTGTTAGCAAGACATGCATCTGAAGGACATTTCTGAGGTTTTCTGTTGTATATTATGTTGAATTGTAGACATAAGACTTTTTTGACTCACTTTTTTGAAGTACATTAACTGGGCCCTTGGTCAAGATGGCTGTGCTCCAAGTTGGACTTTATTTTGCATGTCTGAGTGGTTTGACCGAAGAAGTTGTGATTAGGGGCATAACGACACATCTTTGGACTTTTCTTGATGAAACTTTTGGAACGGGACACAGGCGGACTAAGTTCCCACATGGACCTGTAATTGCATTGCACTTTAGCCAGCAACACCGGCAGCTGTGTCAAAATTCAGAGGCTGCATCCTTCAAAGGACCTGGCTTAAGCCAATCAACGTAGGCTGGTGTAGCTACCAGACACTGGCTCTTTCACTGACCGGGAAGACCGGAGGTAAACGGCTATGAAATTGGACATCGGAATGGATCCGTGATGACGCTAAACAGTAGTGCAATTAAAGTTTAATTTGAACCTTGTTTAAACATAAGAACCCCAACTTTTTGTCACTTTGTTCCCTCACTGTACCGAAAGTTAATCATAAGAAGTACGTACCGAATTGGGATTTTAGGTGTGCCATTACACCCAGATTCTATCATGTTGCAAAAATAAGAAAATGCTGATTTGATCCCTGAAAATTTGAATTTGCTAAATGCCAATAGGTGAGATTGTCAACAAGATGGCAGGGGTGCCATAAATGAAATTGCTTTTCAGGTATCTGTTGAAAAGTCCTTCATTTTCAAATGCCAGGTAGGGTTGGAACGAAATCACAACCTGAATTTTTCCAGCATTTGTAGTATCTGGCCTTCTGACCGGTGTTACATCGATATGTGTCCCCCTTCGAGATCTGTTTCTTTTGCACTCAGCTGCGAGTTAGAACCATCCACTCGCAAAAAATTTGTGTCCTAACCCTTACCCCAACCCTTACCCTAACCATAACCGTGAAACAAACAAAAATTGTGCTACACATAATATTCTCTAAATTTATATTTATGCAAAACCGATGTGCAAAACATACATTTTTGGTGACAGGGTGGTTATGGATAGGGTTAGGGTGAGGGTTATTTTTTGTGATTGGGTCGTTTCCACTTGCAGCTGGGTGCAAAAGAAACAGATCTCGAGGGGGAACACATATCGACGTAACACCGGGACCGTGTAATTACCCGGTGTGGTATTCACTAACAGTGCATGCACACCTTTTTGTTGTGTTTTTAAAATGTTTGTTTTCTGCTGTAGGATTAATGAAAAAGCAACGCAATAAAAAAATGGAAGTGGATCTTTGACCTAAACATAAAATTACAACTGCAAACTGTTTGGAAGGGTATGATGGTGCTTCTCCATCCATCAGAGGAATCCCCCGCTCTCTAGGGGAACGTTTTGCCCCTTATGTCCTCCTGCTGTGTGTGTGTATGTGTGTGTGTGTGTGTGTGTGTGTGTGTGTGTGTGTGTGTGTGTGTGTGTGTGTGTGTGTGTGTGTGTGTGTGTGTGTGTGTGTGTGTGTGTGTGTGGTATTTTTAGTCATTGTTGCCATTTTCCTGCTCTCTCTGCCTCTGACATTTCCTTCCGCTGACCCTTTCTGCCTTGCAGTCGATTCCTTCTGTGGCTTCCCTCTCTGTATTTGACAGTTTCCTTCTGTCTTACTTGTGCATTAGCTGTTTTTTTACAGCCTTTATGCTCTTTCGAGCTGGTTAAGTGAACGGCTGAGTGCTCCTTGACGTGACTCACATGAGGATCTTGTGAGCTGAACCTGCCACTCCTCTACTGCTGGACTAGAGGTCAAAACCCGTTATCGCTCCTCTCAGAAGCTCCTAGAGTGACGCCAAAAATAAAACTTGTCTTCCAAAAGAGCAGAGAAACGAGTTATTTTACCTTTTATAGATGATATCAAAGTCTGCAAGAACAAAGTTTTGTGATTAGACTATTATGTGAGCTTCTTATTAGTGAAATTAGTGGATTGGTGGAGAAATGTCACCCAAAATTCCCCGTTTTCTTAATCATTACTGCAGCAGCAAGGATATCATTCTGTCAGCAGCTGGTTTTTAGCAACACACAATTCAAACTGTCTTTTGAGACCAGATGAATTCTACTCTGAATGCCAAAAACAATGGGTTTATCCTCACATTCTCCCACAAACTCCTCTGTGGCTTCTCGCAGTTCCCTGCTGGGTTGAAAGTTTCTGCAGCTCTGCGTTTGTGAGGATGACTCGGCATACAGATTCACTAATACCTGCACACACTTGCACTCAAGCACAAATGCTCAAACTCTCTATGTTTGTGCATGAACAAGTGGAGCTCCTTCAGTCTCTGGCTTAGTTCCTTGTTTGTTTGCTGCAGTGATTTAGTGTCTTTCTACACTTTTTATTTGACTGTTCTGATTGTTTTTGGAACTGAGAAGTGCCTGAAGCAGAAATGGGACATCGTCAAGCTGGTAAAAGGAGGTAGTCACAGGACGCAGTAACTGAGTGGGTGTGAAGTAGTGGGAGGATAGCTGCATGACTGGCTAACTTTAAAACTGTGATTGCCTTTAGGATCTGTTTTTTGGTATTAAATGGCCTGTTCATTAAAGAGCAAGTCACCCCCTACCAGATTCGTACTCAACTCCCACTTCCTGTTTGAAAAATGCAACAAATGCTGTTGCCTAGCAGACCCAGAGGGTGGAGCCGCTAACAAATACACACACTCACGACATTGTGACATCATAATGTACCATCTAACATCATAGTGTATCTCTTAGCCAATAGCGACGGCAGATTTAAATTCAAATGCAGTGCTGAGTTTTTACCTGACGACGGTGCAACACTGACAGTTTTAGGCAGAATATTTAAATTTTAACTAAGATGCACTAAAGTGCCGAATTATTGACTACACGTGTCTGCAGCACGATCAGACACTCATTTATATAGTTTATCAGAAAAAATTGTTGATTTGGAGTGACTTGCTCTTTAAGAACCTGAGTAATACGTGTTCTTTTTGAAAAACAGTCACTCTGAGTTGCATAGGTACGCTGAACATCAACATTTTTCTTCGACGCCTATCACCTGCATTACCCGCAAGAGTTTAGATTCCTGCGGGGTCTTAAAGTCTTAGAAACGCCCAGACATCTGCCCATGGTCTCAAATTTAGTTAAGTCAAGTCTTCATTTTTAACCATTGTCTAGTCTGGAGAAACGTTGCCCGTATAAAGTAAAACGCCGTAATCTTACGCTGTCTTCCTTCTGGTATAATAAATCCAAAAATAGATCTGTAAAGATATTTGAACACAAAAAGATACTGAATTGTCATTCGAGTGAAATTCTAAATTGTTAGATTTTCTGTTTGTTAAATAATCACCCAGCCTTTGCAGCAGCACACTCCTGACTGTGGTTGAAACATCGTGATTTGATTTATTTCTGTTTGATTTATTTTTTTGTAGGACCTGAAAAAGCCTTTTGACAAAGCCTGGAAGGACTACGAAACCAAAGTGTAAGAAACTACATTTACCATTTTTCTCACTAAAATAATCTGATCATATATTTACCTCATTATTTTACATGTGTAGTTATTTTACATGTGTATTAAACATGTGTAGTTTGATAAATTATCCCATGTGTCGGTTTAAACTTGTTTTCCTGTTATAAGTGAGCACAGATGTGTCTTCCTGTCTGATCTGTCCTGACTAACTGTCCTCCCCTGTCTACCCCCCATGATTAATGTGTGTCAACACGTGTCAGGTCTCATGAATAATCCACTATGACTGCCACCTTTCTACCCACGTTTCCACTGACACCTCACACATGGAGAGAAGGGTTTTTATTGCACTTTCGTGTGTTTTTCCAAGCGGCAAAGGACATTCTTTACTGAAAGGGTAATGCGTCTTCTCTCCGAGTCACGTTGATCAAGCAGTGCGGAGTACATGTGGATGCTGTGTGACTGCTCCTGGCTTTTTATTTGCACCTACTCATGGCAAACAGTAACCATCAGAGTTCTGTTTCCTGCCTGATTGGAAAATCACCCCAACTTGTGCTGCTGCTGCGAATGCTGTTGATTCAGGAGGCGATTCAACTTAAATCTGACCTTTTTAGTGCAAAGTTTCAATTCACAAAGAGAGAGGGGCTCAAAACGACCCAGTATCTTTGTCTTCTGTTGGCGCATCACTTCCTGAACCGACGGCACTGAGAGTAAATGGATTCTCGTCCTTGTTGTCCGTCAAACATCAGTTTGGCCCGTAGCCAAACTGGCTGGCTAACATGTGCCTCTCCATTAGCGGCATTCTCGATGATGCTGTCAGGGTCCAAGGTTTATGCTCTGACGGATGCCAAAAAGTGTTCTCTCTGTGAAATCAGGTTGGATCTGTTCGCAACAGACCACAAGGACAAAAAAGTTTTGTGTGTTGTTGTTAATTCTATAGCTACAGTTTGTGGTGATAGCGGACTTTGGTGTCCACTGATTCCTGGCCAGCTTTTAATTGGATCACTGGCTAATCAGGCTTTATACCATTCCTTTAGTCACGTTTTGACTTTCAAGGCGAAAAAAAAAGCAGCATAAATGTAGAGAAACTGTTTAGATCCTTTTTATCATCACATCCAGTCTGACACAGTGGCGGTCGTGTGATTATATGTGACCAGTAGAAAGGTCAGGTTGATAAAAGAAAATGGAATAAATATCAAACACAAAATTCTGGACTTACCCAGTTGTTAAATTTTGGACCTGAAACCAGCAGATTTAATCAAACCTGATGGGAGATGGGTGTAAGGGATGTAAGAAAATATCGATACACTGAATCGATATTTAAAAGCCGTGTATCGATTTTGTTTGAGAATTTACCTGTAAATAATTACTGTATTTAATTTGTGTAGTGCAATTCAAACTCCGACTGCTAGGTGGCAGCAGTTTTTACCGCCTTCATTATGGCAGAACGACAAAATGTCACGATTGTTCTGGACGTGTCTTGCAAGCTGGTCTGGCCTGACTTTCCCAGTTAAATTCAGTCTTAATAGTTACAAATCTCTGGCTTTTATTATTACAATATATCATATTATCTCACGTGTATTGTGAGATTTATCGTATTTGTCATGTTTTTTTTAATCAAACTGAATCGTTGTTATTCCAAAGAAAAAAATGTAACTGATTAAAATGCTGACCTGTTGCATGGAATGAACCTTCCATCCCTTCTGTGTGGTGTGTTTTATACCCGTCTGTCGGAGATTATGAATTTGTATTTAAAAAAATCAACCCTAAATAATATGGATACATTTTTCTCACCAGTAAATTGTAATCTTGGGATGTTTCTACATGCATTTTTCTTTAAATACATCATAATATTATGCAAAAGTACTCATTAAAAATTACAAACCTTTTTGACTTATCTAAAAGATAATTGTGTTAAAGAATGTTTTAGACCACTTCTAAATAGTTTTTAGGTATTTTGGTGCAAATAAGTGAGTAGCATTTAGAGAATTTTAAAGACCAAGTTCACTGATAAAACATTTTTACCTACATTTTTCGGCATTAGCCGCTGTTGGAGTGTAGACGGGGAAACGACGAGGAAATGCTCGCATTAGGGCGTCAGAATCTGCACGTCAGATTGTAAAATTATCATTCATGGACTCGCCCATCTTGGCTCGCGACGCGGAAAGCTGTTGTTGATTTTACTTCCAGTAGAGAAAGTCTTTGCTAGTAGAAGCTAACCGTTAGCATTAGCAACTTCACCACACAGCAGAACTCCCCCAGCCTTGTGTTATTTGTGGAGATACAACATCAGTGTTGCAGAGCGAACTGAGGCAGTGGTAGAGTTGTGGTGCTTTTAGCCAATCAGAGGAGAGATGTCCAAATATCAGGAAATAAGGCTCCAAATCCGTCCGTCTGCTGCTCACCTCTCCTCTGGCTCACTTCTAATCCCTGAAACAGGAGCGCCAGAGCTTTTTTTCCCTACAGAAATCAACTCACATCATTTATACTAGAGACCACGATAGATGTGTTAAAAAACGAGTGAACTTGGTCTTTAATGTAATTTTATAAACATGATTAGATCACCTTTTATTCTTTTAAAACTACTTTTTTTAATCACACTTGATGAAATCACATGACTTTCTACTTCTTCACGAGATGAAATAATCCATCAAATGCCTCTCTCATAAAATAATTCTAAATTTCACGTTTAAACCGTATTTTTATAAGTTATGCGTGTTTTTCTTGGCTCTGTGAGGTAAATGAGAAATTAAGGAATTAATAATCTGCAGCTCATGAACATTGTTTAAACTACGGCTGTTTAGGGCTGGTTTTAACACGCTCTGTGTTTGTGATGCTGGAAAGAAATTGTGTTTCCGTGAAGTGCCCTTTAACCCCCGCGGTGTTGCCTCCCATCAGGACCAAGATCGAGAAGGAGAAGAAGGAGCACGCCAGGCAGCACGGGATGATCAGGACAGAAATCAGCGGGGCGGAAATCGCTGAAGAGATGGAGAAGGAGAGAAGATTCTTCCAGCTGCAGATGTGCGAGGTCAGGAAAATCGCCGATCCGATCGATGGGATTTAAACACTGGAAGTGGCACATTTGTATCATCTCCATGATGTTTTAAAATACAGATTATTGTTCTTGTTCTAATATGAAACATCTGTCTGAACCCTGTCTCTGTTTACAGTATCTCCTCAAAGTCAATGAGATAAAAATCAAGAAGGGAGTGGACCTGTTGCAGAACCTCATCAAGTACTTCCACGCTCAGTGCAAGTAAGACCTCGCCTCGTGAGGAAAAAGGCTCATTTTATTCACTACGAAGCAGCTTCGTGTCCTTTTGTCCTGACTGTTCTCTCACGTCCTGCTCAGTTTCTTCCAGGATGGTCTAAAAGCCGTGGACAACCTAAAGCCTTCCATAGAGAAACTGTCCACTGATCTGCACACGGTAAAACGCATCACATCAGAACTCTCTTTTGTTTTATATTTTTATTTTACTCAAACCTTTGTTGCTTCATCTCGTTGCCTCAGATCAAGCAGGCGCAGGACGAGGAGAGGAAGCAGCTGACTCAGCTGAGAGACGTCCTCAAGTCTACTCTGCAGGTGGAGCAGAAGGAGGTAAAATAATCCACTCGGCGGCCTCCAGGCTTTTAATTTCGTCGCTAATCTAAACGTAGACACAAAAATTCAATTACAAAAAAACTTTTTTTAACAGTTTGTGGACAGGTCTGTTTTTTTTCTAAAATGAATTTCTTCTGTTTTCCTGCCTTCGTGGTTGTGAAAAGACGAGGAGAGTAAGTGGTTTTCTGTTTTAGCGTCAGATTTGTCCGGAGATGCAAAGTAATCCTGTTGGATTCTTTCTAAGCCTTTTTTCTGCTAATTAGTTTTTCTTTCTGCCTGCGCATGTGGTCCCCCCCCCCCCCAGGATTCTCAGGTGCGACAGAGCACAACCTACAGCCTCCATCAGCCGCAGGGCAACAAGGAGCACGGCACTGAGCGAAGCGGCTTCCTTTTTAAGAAAAGTGATGGGTGAGTGTGTAAAACGCTGCGGGATTAGCATCCTCATCTCGCTGTGAATGTCAGATACGAGTATCTGTCCCATGTCTGTGTGACAGGTTGAGAAAAGTGTGGCAAAAGAGGAAATGCACGGCAAAAAATGGATACCTCACCATCTCACACGGCACGGTAAGCGTGTTGGTGTGAAAAGGGATCAATTAAAGGTTATTGGCAGGAGTCATTGTTGCACGAAGGAAATCATCAACTAAACACACCTTTTTTACTTTGTGCTGAGGATTGATTCCTGAACAGCCTCAGTTTAGAGAAACAGTTTTCATTGTTCTGGCTAGTTAGCCATGGAGTTCTCTGGTTTCTTTCTACAGATTTAATAAAAAAGAAATATCACAGAGTCCTAAGTATTCAGATCCTTTGCTGTGACACTTATATTTAACTCTTTTCATTTATTCTGATCATCTTTGAGATGGTCCTAACCCTTCATGAGAGTCCAGCTGTGTTTGACTATACTGATTGGACTTGATTAGGGAGGCCACACACCTGTCGATATAAGACCATACAGCTCACAATGCATGTCAGAGCAAATGAGAATCATGAGGTCAAAGGAACTACCTGAAGAGCTTAGAGACAGATTTGTGGCAAGGAACAGATCTGGCCATGGTTACAAAAAAATCTCTGCTGCATTTAAGGTTCCTAAGACAGTGGTCTCCATAATCCCTAAATGGAAAACGTTTGGGATGATCAGAACCCCTTCCTACAGCAGGTCGTCCGGCCAAATTGAGCTACTGGGGGAGAAGAGCCTTGATGAGAGAGGTAAAGAAGAAGCCAAAGATCACTGTGGTTGAGCTCCAGAGATGCAGTTAGGAGATGGGAGAAAGTTGTAGAAAGTCAACTATCACTGCAGCCCTGCACCAGTCAGGCTTTATGGCAGAGTGGCGTGTTGGAAGCCTCTCCACAGTGCAAGATACATGAAAGCCCACATGTAGTTTGCTAAATGACACCTTAAGGACCCCGAGATGGTGAGAATTTAGATTCTCTGGTCTGATGAGACCAAGATAGAACTTTTTGGCCTTAATTCTCTGTGGCACGTGTGGAGAAAACCAGGCACTGCTCATTACTTGTCGACTTGCAGTCCTCGCAGTGAAGCATGGCGGTGGCAGCATCATGCTGTGGAGGTGTTTTTCAGCTGCAGGGACAGGACGACTAGTTGCATTCAAGGGAACGATGAATGTGGACAAGTACAGGGATATCCTGAACAAGAACTTTCTCCAGGATCCCCAAATCCAGGTCTAAGGAACTTGTTGCACCTTTAACATGCTCATGGCTGTATAAGGGTGCTTCTAAATACTGAGCAAAGGGTCTGGATACTTAGGACCATGTGATATTTCAGTTTCTTTTTTAATAACTCTGCAGAAATTTCTAATATTCTGTGTTTTTTCTGTCATTATGGGGTGCTGTGTGTACAGTAATGAGGAAAAATGTAAATAATTAATTTGATCAAATTGCTGCAATATAACAGGGTGAAAAATTGACAGGGGTCTGAATACTTCCGTTCCCATTGTAAACATTTCACAAACGCTGATAAAGTGTTTAGAGCTGCTTTAAAATAACATAAATTGCTTTGATCTCGACATTCAAACTAGCCATTAGTTAGTTTGTCAGCCTTTTGGCTTTAAACTCAAATTTTCCAAAGGGATTCCATTTTTTTATCCAAATATAGGTCAGATGGTGATCCGTTAAAACTTCACACTCGTCAAAATAGCTGAAATAGTCCTTTAATGACCCTTGCACACATAAGCATTTGAAGATGTAGTGTTGTTCTCACGCTTAGCAGCTTATTGGACGATTGGTTTTGCTCACACACCACTTCTCGTCCATAACGTTTAATTTCTCCAGGCTAACCGACCGCCGGCTAAACTCAACCTGCTAACCTGCCAGGTGAAACACAATCCTGAGGAGAAGAGAAGCTTTGACCTCATATCACGTATGTGAAATATTTTTATTTTTATCTCTTATGGAGGCCTCTTTTAACTTCCGAAGACTCCGGTTGTTGTAGTCGGATATAAATCCAACCTAGAGGGCATCAGCTAAGATTTATTCTAATATATTATCGTTCTATACGCCTCAATCTACTGATTTTAAATATAAATGGGTGGGGGTGGAAGTCCATTCCCACCACTCGGATAATTTTTTTTAATCTCATAATTTCGAGATAAAGCATGCATTTGTTAATGTGAGTGGCAGGAATGGGCTTCCATCGAAATTACTTAAAAGTAGCTTTTAATTATTAAAACGGTGCATTCACAGCTGCAACCAGGTAAGCTTGTGTTAAACTTACTGAGGTCATCTCTCACTTCCTTTTCTTTTAGACGACAGAACGTATCACTTTCAGGCCGAGGACGACCAGGACTGTCAGATGTACGTTCCTGTTTCCTTTCCGTTTCCCACCTCCTCCACCTTCTTGCCTCGGCTTTGCCTCATTCCCCTCTGCTGGCCTGATTTTCTCCCTGCAGTTGGATCTCAGTGCTGCAGAACAGTAAAGAGGAGGCGCTGAATCAGGCGTTCAAAGGGGACCACCACGTGGGTGAGAGCAACATCGTGCAGGAGCTGACCAAGGCGATCCTGGGGGAGGTCAAGAGGATGACTGGAAACGATGTGTGCTGTGACTGCGGCGCCCCCAGTGAGTGACTCCTTATGAGGTCCTGTAGGGTCGCATCACACTGGAGGAACTTGCATCATCATTCAGTGGTTAAGTCACAATGTAAAGGCCAGATTGGTGTCTAATGAAGAGTTCCTTTAATTTTCTTATAAAATCAGCTCAGATTTCCCTTCAGGAATCCGTGGACGTTGCAGGATTTTGTTCTTTAAACTGCATTCCTGGTTCTTGCAGAAATGCTCCATAGTGATATCCTCCAACCTGAGTAAGCGTGCATTCAGCAGCATTAAGGATTCTAATTTTCCAACAAAAGGACAAAACACTGTTAAAAAAAAATCCCACAAACTCTGGAATTAAGGGATTATTTAAAAATAATCATTTTTCTTTTAGATCCGACGTGGCTTTCCACCAACCTGGGAATCCTCACCTGTATTGAATGTTCAGGAATCCACAGGGAGCTGGGAGTCCACTACTCCCGGATCCAGTCCCTCACTCTGGATGTCCTCAGCACCTCAGAGCTCTTGGTAAATCCCATTTTCTCTCACTTTGGGATGAATGTAGAATGCTGGGAATGAGATGTTGCTTTGCTCCTCTTCTCCTTGTGGATGTCTCCGCCTCTCAGAATAGCTGAGACGTTTTTTTTTCTCACTGTTGGTGCAGAGATTTACAGCCTGTGGGACGTTTGGGATTAAACTCTTCCCTTCCTGATTGCTTTCCTCGGTCTTCAGACGCCAGTCGACTTGGCCAGAATCCGACAGGATTCCGGCTCGGGATGTGGGGGCGTGTTAGCAGCACTGATGGTGTTTGAATTAATCATCGTGGTTCATAACTAGCTTATTTATCTGTTGGTGCTCCACAGCTGGCCAAGAACGTGGGGAACGCTGGCTTTAATGAAATCATGGAGGCCGCTTTGATTGCTGAGAACGTGGTGAAACCCAACCCAGCCAGTGACATGTGAGCCACATTCTTTGTCTTCACTTAAATAAACTAAGTTTGCAAAATTTAAACTTAAAAAAAAAAAACTCAGCTTTTAATGCCTGCAGTTTGTGTTCACCAGGCAGACGAGGAAGGACTTCATCACGGCCAAATACACGGAGAAACGCTTCGCCAAGAAAGAATACCCTGATGCTGCGTCGCGGCTCCACGCGCTGTGCGAGGCGGTGAAGGCTCGAAACATCTTCCAGCTCATCCAGGTCTACGCTGAGGGGGTGGACCTCATGGAACCCATTCCACTCGCCAACGGACACGTGAGAGCACCACCAGCTTTACTAAACTGTAGCTTCTCTGTGTGATTCACTCATTTACTCATTCATTCACTCACTCAGAGGTGTTTTCACACAGGAGCACGGCGAGACGGCCCTTCATCTGGCGGTCAGGCTAGTGGATCGAACGTCTCTCCACATCGTCGACTTCCTCACTCAGAACAGGTGAACAAAGCCAGGAGGAACATGCGGTTTATGTTTGGAGAAAAATATATGTAAATATGTCTGCAGGCTGATTTTCTGTGCTTGTTTGGATTTAATTAGTGTGTGTGTGTGTGTGTGTGTGTGTGTGTGTGTGTGTGTGTGTGTGTGTGTGTGTGTGTGTGTGTGTGTGTGTGTGTGTGTGTGTGTGTGTGTGTGTGTGTGTGTGTGTGTGTGTGTGTGTGTGTGTGTGTGTGTGTGTGTGTGTGTGTGTGTGTGTGTGTGTGTGTGTGTGTGTGTGTGTGTGTGTGTGTGCGTGTGCGTGTGTGTAGTTTAAATTTGGACAAGCAGACGGCCAAAGGCAGCACGGCGCTGCACTACTGCTGCCTGACTGACAACAGCGAGTGTTTGAAGCTGCTGCTGCGAGGAAAAGCGTCCATAGATATCGGTAGGAAATGATGCGTTCACTGACCTCAAACATCCCAGTCACGGGCTTTGGATCATCACAGTTTAGCAGTTTAGTTTCACATCTCCCACGTTTCCCATTTGCCTTGTTAAAGGCGATAAAATTGCATGCACACCGATGCCCTGGATGCGTCATTTGGAATTCTAGGATGTCCAAGGAAGGTCCCGCCTTTCTGGCCTCTGATTGGCGAGAAAGGCTCTGCTACAATTGGCTATTTCATTTAGCGGCAAACCGGCTGTCTTCGCCAAGTACAGACTGTCCTTCTGCCACCAGCAGAAAGATGTTTTGGGGAGTTTTGTCAAGAAAATGTGAACTCAGCGCTATAATAACCATTCTGTCCTGTTTTGCTAAATATTTTATGTTTCATAAAAAACTGAAAAACCTAAAATATTCATTTATAATCTTGTTGCATTTATCAAACTGTTGGACTTCGTATCTCTTGGCTCTCAAGCCTTAGAGTACATAGGATAAACATATGTGCCTTATCTGGGTATAAAATTTATTAAAACTGCCATATTCTGCCCATCTGTGTGCATCAGGTCTGTTTCTTTTCTAGAATGAAAACGGGTGAAAAATAGGTCTAAATCATAATCGGCTTTAACCTAATGTTTGATTAAATGCTACACATTTAATCTGATGATGAGAGATGTGCTCTAACTTGTAAACAGCTTTAACTTATTAAAGTAGGATAGCCTCATAATAAACTCCTCAAGATCTGGCTGTAAACCTAAAAACCTGCAGCGATGGAAAACAACTTCCTCTTACATGAAATAGCCAATCAGAGGCGAGAAAGGCGGGACCTTCCTTGAACATCCTAGGATTCCAAATGACGTGCCCCGCATGCATCAGGAAGTCGGCCATGTTGGATCAAAGATGCCATTCTTCCTGGACATTTAAAAAGTGTAAGCATCGTTAACTCGTTTTTATTTGGTGTGAGTTTTTTTCAGATTAGTTGGACCTCATAAACATGACAGTAAATAAGTCACATTGAAAATAAACAATGTTGGCAAATAAATAACAAAAACAAAATTCTACAATTTAAAGATTAATAATCAAAACTGAGGGTAAGTCGAAGTAAAAGGTGAGATCGTCATTAAAAGTTTTGTTTTTGTTCCAGGAAAATTTTGGGGTCAAAAAACATCAAACTAAATTAATTTTAAGCAAATAAAAATATATCTGTACTGAAAAATTCTCCTTTTCACTTGTAGCCTAATTTTTCACCAGGTTTTTTGGATTTTCTGATGCCTCATGTTTTAACTGCCTCGACACACCTGATTTCATTCAGCAAGTGATTAACAGGCGTCTGCAGAGCCTGATGAGCTGCTGCATAGGTGATTCAGCCACTGTGTGTTGGAGCAGAGAAACCACTCTGTTGTAGAGTTATCGTGGCTAACAACTCCTCGTGTTCTCAGGCTCCCATCCTTTCCTTTCATCCTTTCAGGTCCCACACGTCAAGTCCTTGAAATTGTCTTTTATTTTCTCACAACACTCGTCGTGTTTTGCTCCACTCTGAAATCAACAACAGCCAGATAACAGGAGGGCAGAGAGCATCAGCTCAGTCTGGGAAACCGTCTAATTACACGTTTGCTGTTGTCACTGTGGACAGAAACGAGAGCAAGCGCGTTTGTCCTTGAGTGGTGTGTGAATAAAACGATGATTACGTGTTTTGGTTTGTCCTTCCTTCAAGCCAACGAGGCCGGAGAAACGCCGCTGGATATCGCCCGCAGGCTAAGACACAGTCAGTGTGAGGATCTGGTGAGACGAGTCGTTTCTATCCACCAGAGCGTTGCTTTTATGGGTTCGTTAGAGCCGTTAGACATCTGACGCCTTCGTGTTTACAGTTGAACCAAGCGCTGGCGGGAAAATTCAACGCCCACGTCCACGTGGAGTACGAGTGGCGCCTGCACCATGAAGACCTGGATGAGAGCGATGAAGATCTGGATGAAAAGGTGAGTCGACCACAAGCTGAGAAGTCAAACTCATCTGTGGAGATCTGTTGAACTGTTTATGGTCTCTTTTAACTTCACCCTTTGACCCCTGACCCCTGCAGCCGAGCCCTCACCGGAGAGATGACCGTCCAGTCAGCTGCTACGCCCCCGGCAGTAACTCCCACCTTCAGGCTGGCCTCGGTAGGGACAAGCAGCGCCTCTACATGCCCAATCTGGTGAACAACGAGACGTACGGCACCATCGTCAACACTAACTCGCCTCAGTCGGCCACCACCTCCGCTCCACCGCTGCCCCCGAGGAACCTGGGTAAGAGGGAAAACCGTCTGACCTCCAGCTGCCTTTAGGAAGTTATAGAGGAAACCCCCTGAGGAACATGTTTAACCTCTTTAAACACCACTGATGTTGCCATGGAGACATTCTTCTTCTCCTGTAGCCCAGTTATCGGCTCTAGGTGGAGCCAGTCAGTCCTCCACTTCCTCCATCTGGAAACCGTCTTCGTTGGACCTGAGCGGCAGACAGCGCTCTTCCTCGGATCCTCCCAACATGCATGCCCCTGTCCCCCCCACGAGGCTCACTTCAGGTGGAGGTAAAGAGCCCCTCCGTCAGGCTGATTAAATGTCGACTTTTAGGCTGAATGGCTTTGGGGCCGGTACCCGTGGCTGAAAACCCATTTTCAGATTTAGGCTGATGCTCCTTTAAAAATTCGTAATAATCTCTCAGTCCGATTCTGTTAAAAAGAACTCAAATCATCTGGTTTCTACAGATGTTTGTGAAACCCACAAACTGGTTCAGTGGGTTGGGGTTAGGGTTCCGTGTACTCTGAAAACAGTTTCCTAATGAAGAACTCTGACAGAATGGGACTTAAATCTATAATCTTAAAGATTAACGTTATTTTTGCCAATAAACTATATAAATGAGTGTTTAATCGTGCTGTAGACACGTTTAGTCAGTAATTTGGCACTTTAGTGACTCTTAGTTAAAATTTAAATATTCTGCCTAAAACTATCAGTGTTGCGCCATCTTCAGGTAAAAACTGTACTCCATTTGAATTAAAATCTGCCATCGCTATTGGCTAAGAGGTACTCTATGATGTTAGCTGGTACATTATGATGTCACAATGTGATTATGAGCCTGTGTGTGTGTATTTGTTAGCGGCGGCGCCCTATCTGTCTGCCAGGCAGCAGCATTTGTTGTATTTTTCAAACAGGAAGTGGGAGTGTAGTAAGACTCTGGGGGGTGACTTGCTGTGAACAAACATTTAAAATTTCTCCATAAAGGAGAATTTAAACTACAAGTGGAACTTTAAAAGATTAATAAATAAAAAAAGCAAGTGTTTAAAATCACAGGTACCTTGTATTTAAATACAGGTAGCTCGAGGTAGCAAATGATCCTTACCAAAAAGTCTGGGTTGTGTCTGACCTGCTTTCTTATGCAAATGAGTCTTTTAGAAATGGCCACAGAGAAACGTGGGAAGTAACTTGGGAAGTAACACGTCAACAGCGTAGACATACCACCTTAAATTAGCATTGCTGGTGATAATGCTAATATAGGCTGAGCTGCTAGTAATGCTAACCCAAATTACTGCCAATGCTATCTCAAGGTACTGCTATTGCTACCCTGAGGTTTTGCTAATGATAGCCTGAGCTACTGCTAACGACTAGCTTGAGATAGTACAAACGTCTATGTTGGACGAGAGGAAAACATCAAAAGTGTTTGTTGGAGCACACGTGCGACATTCCAGGCGGTTTTGGGAATATCCAGACTTGAATGCCAGATAAATCGGTAGCTTGTGCTCCTCTTGCTTATTTGTCTGCAGCCATTGTAGGGCTTTATGGAGTTAGCCCTTTAGCAGGGCTCCTGGGCCATTTTAAACCCCAACAAAGTTTAATATGTTAATTAGAGGCTCAAAGAACGATTTCCTAATGTGAAAAGAAAAGGTTGTTCTAGAAGCCTTTACACCGACAAATGCTGATGTGTGTTCCAGGTTTGGGTCCTGCTGTAGCCAAGTCTGGTCTGTTGGGGACCAGGTCAGGTCCACCTAAATCTCCAGATGGGTAAGAAACCATAAACTACTTTAAATAAAATCTACAGATTTTTACAGACAGTTCTCAGGTTGTTAAAGCTTCCGTTTGTTTGTTTTTCCAGGACTGATAAAAGCTTCAGCCGAGCTTTCCTGAATCGCACAGAATCTGTAGAAAGAGCCGGTGAGTGAATGGCTGAATGTTGAAATGGCGAGGTGGTTTTACTGATTCATTTCGGGAAGTTTGTAGCTTTTATTTTTATTTTTGCTGTTGTGATGTCATTTCCTGTTTCCTGTTCCAGCTAAGGAAGTGCCAGGATGCCCCCAGAACACCACGGGTCATTCCCTGCCTCCGGCCCCCATTCCGAGAAAGTCCTTCTCAGTGAGAATCTCGTTCTTCTTTTAATGTTTTCTTTCATTTCTCTGCTGTGTGACCCGTCTGCTGGTGCTGTAAACGTCCTTCCTGAAGTCTGCGTTTGTTTTCCTGGTCGGAAAAGATTTTGTAAACATGTAAACATGATTATTTACCTGAAGTGTTTTTCTGAACTTTGTTTGGATTCACATGTGTTTCTATGGTTTTTGATGGCAAAATGGATATTATTCACATGGGGGGGGGGGGGTTTAAATGAACAAATGAGGTTTATGTTTGCTATACTTCCTCCTAACATCCTGAAAAGCACCATTCTTCTTACATAGAACCAATTTTATTAAATACGGGAGCATTTGTGTGGTTTTGCTCATCAGAAGCAGAGACCAAAACGAGTGAAGGCCATCTACAACTGCATAGCCGACAACCCCGACGAGCTGACGTTTTCTGAGGGCGAGGTGATCGTGGTGGACGGAGAGGAGGACCAGGAGTGGTGGGTTAGTATCCATCCAGCTGCACGCCTTTCCCACCTCCTCCTTCTCTTTTTCCGACTGCTGTTTCTTCCTGCGTGTGAACCAGCTGCAGCTTGTTTTCCTCGGCCACCCCTGCAGACATGACCGTATTTAGTCAGCCTCTTGTCTCCCTACACGGAGCCAGAGTCCCCCATGACCCCGCCATGCTTCCTCTCCATCCTGCAACACTTTTATCGCTCTTTTTGTTTCTGATTAAAAACGAAAGAGCGATAGCGCCTCGGTGACTGAAAACAGGCCTGCGGATGGAATTAGGAAGGGTTTTAGTTGTTTCTAAAGACAGAGAAGTAAATTTGGTCTCCGCTACATTTATTCTTTCCTCTAGTTTCATGTCGTGTTTATTTTCAGGTGTAGACGGCTTTAAAATGACTAAAATGAAGATTATGCATACTGAAGGTAAACAGAAAAAAGGGTAACTCTTGGATTATAGTGAGACGTTTGTTGTGATGTAGCCGTTAGACGTAGGAGATCAGTGGGGATGGACGTTCCTCTCAGTATGATTCAATCCTGTTTCTGACAATTCCGACGCCTGATTCCCACCGAGTACGGAACTGATGCGGTCCGGACTCCGTATGGCTTCGGCAAACATAAAAGCTGCTGTATGGATCGGATCAGGATGCGGAGCTCCGGATAGTTTCCGCATAGATTCCAGACGCCGCATGAAGTTAAAGAGCAAGTCACCCCTTCACTTCATGTTTGAAAAATGCAACAAATGCTGTTGCCTAGCAGACCAAGAGGGTGGAGTCACTAACAAATACACACACACAAGACATTGTGACATCATAATCTACCAGTTTACATCATAGCATACCTCTTAGCCAATAGCGGTGGCAGTTTTAAATTCAAATGCAGTGAAGAGTTTTTACCTGACAACGGCACAACACTGCCAGTTTTAGGCAGAAAATTTTAATTTTAACTAAAATGCACTAAAGTGCAAAACTATTGACTACACGTGTATGCAGCACGATTAGACACACATTTATATAGTTTATCAGAAAAAAATAGTTGATTTGGGGGTGACTTGCTCTTTAAAGAAAGGACGAAGGTGCGAAGGTGTGTCTGGTATATATCAAAGTAAAACCTGTGTTGCGTTTATTTTCGCTGCTTTTGTTGTAGTTGTTAATGATGGGGATATTAGCTTATAGGATATGATAGCTCATGTTATTTAGTATAGTCATTTACAAGATTTGGTGCTCTCGCAGGAGCACGTTTCTGGAGGCGTTCAGCGAACGAATCGCTGTCGTCTGGAAACCGGACTGCATCCGTTACGTTATCGGTGTGAATCAGGTGTTATTCTTAGTCAGTAAATCCTCTACAGTGGCTTGAAAACATCTAAACGTTTAATAAAAGTTTTAAAAAACATTGAAGATTAACTGATCTACAAAAGACTTCTGAACTTTAAAATGAAAGCAATCATTCATTTGAGGTTCAGTTTAACGTGCAGTAATAATAATCTATAATAATAATGATGTGAAGTCATAATAATTCGCTGTTTATTCAAGCACCTTCATATTTTTGGTTTATTGCATTTTTCAAACAGACATGGACTGTTGGCCTGCAGGTCAAAAGGTTAATTTGCCTCAAAATGAGGCACGAAATGCATTTATTTCTAATTTTGTACCAAAAATCAACAATTAAATTACTGGAGCACAAAAGCAGCGATCTGCAGGTTAAAACCTCAGCAGGACGAATTTAAAGGCTTTGAGTTGCATTTAACTTTATTTTAAGCAAATCTAAATTATAAATCATACATTTACTTGTATCATTTCTAAACTGAAAGTGATGCTGCTTGGATCTCATGTCTTAGTTTGTTGTTCATTTATTAAGTTTGTAAAATATTAAATAAATGTGTCATTAATTATTTCCATTTGGAATTCAGGTCATCTTTTTCCCGTTGAATCTACTTTTTATGGTTTTATAAAACCGAATCGATGAGACTAATTATATGAAATGTTGAGGTTTGAAGAATCAGGACTGGATCATCTGAGGTGAAAAAGGTCAGATATGTGTCATAAAACACCCACGTCTGTGCTTTTTAGCTGCTGTTTGTTTTCCTGTAGCTTACTTTAACTAATGTGATCCGTATTTTAGTGTTTCCTGGCCCCATCAGCGTTTCACTCCCCCATAATGCACTTCTGTCGTTCCTCTTGGCAGCTGGGTCACATCGAAGGGGATCCAATGAGAAAAGGCGCCTTTCCTGTTACGTTTGTCCACTCCATCTCTGACTGAAGATCCTCTCGTCCGTCTGCAGCCATCAGAACATCCCAGTTTTATATCCCCCATCATCACTGCTGCATCATCACCGTGGCGGCATCTTTGTGCGTGCGTGTGTTGTCACGACGACTGCAGCAAGTCTGGCTGTAACCGAGGCCCTGCAGAACTAAAAAAAAATGATTGTAGTGAGTCATCTCTGGCAATAAATGCACTTTTTTTGTCTTAATTCATGTTACAAACTAATGAAGGTCACCTGTTCAGTGTTTTTATCCGTTCCGTCTGCAGCTGCGGTGCTCAAGACTCCATAAACTCTTGAGATTAGAGCAGATTTTAACAAACTAATAACGCTAAATGTGAATTTAGAACATGTGTGGGTGCACGAGGGATGTTCTTTAGTTTCTGCTGATGGGAGCAGCTCTCCTGGGTGGAGAACTTACTGGTGCTAACTCTGGAGGATCTTCCATGTCCCCAATTCAGCCCCACTGGAGCTGCTGCAGGGTTTTTTTATTCTTATTTTAATGCCTCTGACTCTTCACAGCTGGGAGAAAACCACTTTGTTGGACGTTTGTAATGAATTCACCGTCACACATCACCACACTTCCTGCCGGCATCAATTTGGCCTTCCTACATCCAATCCAGCAGCGACATTCCGGTTCTTCTGCCTTACCAGAGAAACCAGATGGTTGCGTTAGAGGACGAGCTGCAGATATGATTGTAGCTGTGTTGTTGCCTTCAGGAACACTCGTTGGCAGGCTGCTTTATTGTTTTTTAAAGCTAAATTAAGAGTTTTGATGCCGTAACCAGATACAGGAATGTCAGTGTGCAGCTTAAGTCATCTGAGGGTTCTGTCATGTAGAAAGATGCGATTTAAAATAACTCTGGTCATCCTGGTTGCAGAGCAACTTCCTTTGTGTTCATATTGTTTATATTTAGAGCCCAAAATCAGAGCCTTCCATGTGTTTATGAATGACAGAGAAAGAGAGTTCTCTTTCTTAACTCACTGGAAATGGAAGATTTAAGCATCTATTTATGTTTGTGGGTATTTAAATGGAATCAGTGGATTTAAGCTGAGCAATAAATGGTTTTTTTTAATGCACTGTGTCGACGAGAAGAGTTGGACCTGGGAGTGACGTGAGCGGACACGCAGATGCTTCTGCGCATGACTTCATTCATCCTCACTAACCGACTGAAGCTCGCCGCATCGACGCTTCACTTGTGCGAGTATGTGGGAACGTGAAACTGGAAAAATAAAATGTGAAATAATCCTGGACTTTTTTTTTTCTGTGGGGGATCATAGTTTATGCTTGACGCAAAGAGATGTGTCGATGGCGCCCTCTATTGGTGAACAGCTCAATTCACACGCATGCAGGGGGGTGGGTGGGGGGGGCATCTTTGGGATGATAAAAATGACCACAAATAGGATTAAAGTGATATGTATACACCCACTGGAGTGTGAGGCTGAAAATAAAAGTGGTGAACGGCTGAAGAGTGAAACTGGGTTTAAGAAGATGAGGAAAAGCAACATTTTGTTCATTTATTGAATGTAAGTCACACTCACAAATTCACTCCTGTTCTGTACCAGATTTTTTTATTTAAAAGTCATGTAAGTCAAGTAAAGTAGGAGCTGTAAACATCCAATCCCAAAATGCTTTCTGAGGAAAAATAAAACTAAACATCAGATTATTTTCAGATTAAATTAATGTGAGGCAAAAAAGGATCTGGTACCAAGAAATTCTCTAAAGCAATGACTTGATGTAAAAAATAAAAAACAGATAAAAAATAAAATGAGGCACTGATAGAAGTTGTAAATTTCCTTCAAAGTGACTTATTGTACAAATACTGTAATCAGATTACAAACACAAACAAGAGGGCATCGTCTGATCTAAATGAGACACGAGGAACATCACTTAAATCTGTTTCGCTGCTGGTTTGTGTCTCCCAGTAACAATCATATGCTGGACAGGTCCTTCTGTAGCTTTTAGTACCACATTAAATAAATATAAACCTAACCTAACCTGCTTACACGTCTCCACTCTGTACCATGAACTTATGTTCAAGACTTTTTATTTTCTTTAGCTTAAAATTCACACAGACAGGAAACTGAGAGCAATCTCTGGGGAAGCTCATATTTTAAATCACAAATCAAGTCCATCTAAACCCACATTGATGTCCAATCAACAACCCCCAAGAGACCGGTTTTAATTTCCATTCTAGTGCGATTGCTGGATGAAGCTGATCTCATCTCCAGGAAACCTCAATGGCTTTCACCTCCTCCCCAACAGATCCAAAGCGACAAGTTTTTCTGTCATCAGGACTTGTCTGATGACAGAAAGCAGTCAAAGGACGTCGACATCACCTTGCAGATGGCCTGAGCCTGCTCCTGTGTTGATGACAAACACAAAGGGGCGTTTAAAGTCCCTGCAGACACGCCCCCAGACGGCAGGTTTCATTTGCTGCTCACCGAGCTGCTGCACTGGTACACCCAGATGCTGCACTCCTCTTGCTTGGAGTCTGTGGTTTTCAGAGCCAGAAGGTTCTTCCCCGCGCCCAGGCCGTCGTCGTAACACAGCATACGAACGATCAAGTACAGAGGGTGACGATGCAACACGTCCTGAACAGAGGAAATCTTTTTTTTAGGTTCTCCTGTGTGTTTAAGAAACATCCAGGTCATCTTGCTACTCACACACTGGTCCACTGAGGCAACTTTGACCCCATACTTTGACACACCCAGAACCATCTCCTCATCTTCAGGAACGAAGGGCAGTTTACCGTCTTGCTGTGAAAAGAAGCAGAAGGTTTAAAGCTCTTTTAAATGACAAACCTCTGAGACTAAAGAAAACATCCCACCTGGGCAGCATCGATGTAGTTGATTAGGTCTAAAGGCTCCTGCAGGGTCTTACTCATCTCAAATTCTAAGTTCTTAATGACTCCCACATACTTCACCCGAAACTCAGCGCATGTCTCTGTTGCGCTGTTTCCTACAATCAAGCATTTTGTTACAAAAGACGAGGTGCGTTCAAATTTAGTTTAGTAACATTTCACACCAACCTGAGCTCTTGTTGGAGTCTGTATCAAGGCTGGCAACCGTGCTCGATCTGGAGAGTCCTCCTACACTGGAGTCAACAGACTAAACAGAAACAAAAACAAGAATGTAACAAAACGGTGTGCTCCTGATGTGGCGTTAATGTAAACAGGTTTTGGTGCCTTGCTCTTGGTGCTGATCTCGCTGCTCTGCGAGCTGCTGCTGCTGTGGCGCTTCTTGACTTTCCGGAACATCCTTCACCATGACGACCGCATCCAGACCCTCCGTGAACCAGAAACCTGGACGTTCCCACACCCTAAAGCGTTAAAACTCGCAACAGAGCAGCCTTCTCAAGTCTCAACAAACTAAATTATTAACTGGGAACTATATTTTAAATAATGGATGCCTGTCCCACAACAGCACAGCACTTCTCATTAAATGTTAGATTTTACTGTTTTTAATCAATTATTTTCCTAAAAGCGATTGGTTTAATAATTTTAAATTGTATAAAATTACTTCAGGTTGAAATATTTACTTTTGTTGTACTTTTATATTTTGTAAACGAGCAATGAAAGGGCTATAATTCCAATTCTAAAATACTTTATTGATCCCAGAGGAAAATGTAACAAATTGTATGCAAATATAATAACAATGGTAAGTATGCATATCTGTAGAAGTAATAATAGGTATAGTATTAAATAAACACAATCTGAGGTCTAAATGTTAAAACAGATCATTAAATATAAAAAAAATCTAGAAATAACAGCAGCATGGGAAAAAAAAGGTCAATTTTAGGTAGACGTGTTATTTTGCAATAATTACAAATAAAAGTTGAATCTAAAGCATCGGGTAAAGAAACCATCATTTTCTGAACACCTATGATTGTAAATCGCAAACTCCTGGTAACGTTCTTATCTAAATACTTATTTTTTGGCCGAGTTTAAGTAAGCATATGAATGATAAATAAGACTTTAATACATTAAAAAGTAAAACAAAACGCCTGAATCAAGGTGCCGACCGTGACGTACCTAACTGTTAGCCAATGAACGCTTTCAATATAAATACTTATTACATTGTAGCTACATAATATACTTATAGTAGCTGAAAGCTCTTCGGTGTTCCTTACGCCGCATTTATTTAAGAAGTTAAACACAAACTTTAACAACGCATTAAAAAGCAAAACGACTCCGCTAGCTTTAGCTAGTTTCCACAAACATACCTGTTCGTACTGTGTGTCTTAAATGTTTTTCTTCTACACTTTTATAAATGTTAACGCTCCCGTTTTCCTTGAGAAGGGTCTGGCTGCGGCCGCCAAAAGTCGTGGCACCACCCGGAAGTGTAATGGCAGCAGTGGTAGGGGGCGTGGCTAGTGCCACTAAAAGCCGTGGGTGCCACTAAAAGCCGTGGCACCACCCGGAAGTATCAGAGCTGCCACTGCAAGTGCCACTCGTGCTGCCGCTGCCACAAATTGCGCTCGATCCTGCTGTGAAAAGAACACCTAAGCCATCGGGATCAGCATTCCCAAAGCAAAGGAAGGAGGAAGAAAAAAAGCGGGCCCAAAGCAGAGGTATGTAGAATTTATAAATTTGGCAAAGGAACTTTTTGCGTTACCATTGTAGCTAACTGCCTCTCCTGCCACGCACGGTCCACGGACGGACCCTCGCTAGCTGTTTACATACACAATACAGTATCTCATAACTTTAACCAATTAATTTTACTTTTGAATCGTCGTGTCCAGATGCAGTGAGACAATATCTGCAGCCTGCCGACAGGCACTTTGTTGACACCACGGGGGCGGGACTGTCTTCTACACCTGTTGAGTCTCACTGTGATGATGAAGAATGAAAGATTTTTTTTATCGTTTTTTTGGAGTATGATTGCAGCCTTTTTATGAACTTCGATTCAAGTTTTAAGTACGCATACAATAAGAATTTAATATTTTCATATAAGAAGAACGCTAGGTGTGTGTTTAGCAAAATTTCAACTTTGTCCAACATCGGGCGGGCGGCACCGCCGCGGCCGTGGCGGGGACTCCCCCCGCTGTCGCCGGGCCCGCGTCGGTGTTTCCTTGTTTAATAAATGAAAACCTCAGAGTGCCTCAGATCACCGGATCTTCTTCCTCATATTCCACAATTTATTTGATGCTGAAGAGCACCTGAGAGTGAGACATACGTTTTTTCAAATATTCCCCATGGATGCAGTCACTTCCACCCAGAGCCGGATTAAATAAACGGACTACACTAGGCAGGCTGCATTTATTGGGGCCCACCTCCATTGATGTTACTTCATGAATTGAAATCTGAAACTTACCAAAGTTACTAATAAAAGTTCATTCACATTTTACATAGCCTTGTCTTTGGTTACAAACTGGTTGTTTGTATGCCAAAAGAAGTCGTGTGCTGTATGTAAAACATTACATCAGACAATTTTTTGATATTAATAATGTATACGTCATTACACAGCTGTATTAAATGCTGATAAATTATCCTCATCTAATCCATTGGGAGTGTCATTGTCAAGGCAGTAGTACCAGTAAATAACCACTAGGTGACTTTAAACTATGTAAACAGAGCAAATATGTTTATCTCATTTGCTCTGTTTACATTTAATCAACACATTTAATTAAAAAGATTTTCTGCTAAATACAATAGCTTACAACATTTATAAATGTTGACAAATTAATCACATGACGGTGGAAAGACATTCAAGAAGAAACAGATTCATTTGAATGGACTGAAGCATGTTTAAAGGCACAAAAACAACCTATAAACACGCAGCTTAAATCATTTCAGTATAAATTATACACAATCTATAATCTTAAAAGAAAGTATTTTAATCAAATGAAAACATTATCTTAAGGTTTGACCTTGCTTTAAGCTCATTCAGGCTGTTATTGCCTCAGCTGAATCAGAAATACTGTGTGAATTTTCTGAGTGTGAACTTATTGTTTGATAAGCTATTTGAACATTAATAAAATTATTTGAAATAAAAAATTAATAAAACCAGCAACACTTACCAAGGAAACCATTTAGAGCGCTCCACTCCGGAATAATCTTCAGCCTTCCAGCATCACAGGCCTCAGTCACAGCAGAAGCACGTCTAAAGAAATGTTCCTTGGTTAAGCTTCGGTTTATGTCTCCATATTTCCTCTGTGATGCAGAGAAATATCCAATATTTTGAGAAGGATGGTTTAGTGCAAAGTCCTCACGCATCCTGTCATCAATTTGGTACCACTTTGCAGGATCAGATGTAGCTTGTTAATATCCTTTCCTGGTCTATAGCAGGGGTCCCCAATCCTGGTCCTGGAGGGCCGGTATCCTGCATGTTTTAGTTTGAACTCTGTTTCAACACACCTGATTTCAATCAGCAGCTAATTAACAGGCTTCTGCAGAGCCTGATGAGCTGCTGCACAGGTGTTTCAACCACTGAATCAAGTCTGTTAGAGCAGAAAAACCACAAAACCTGCAGGATACCGGCCTGCCAGGACCAGGATTGGGGACCCCTGGTCTAGAGGCTCCTGCTGAAAGACTATATTGGGCTCACTTCTGGCTGGCTGGCTTCTAGTTCATCCTTCTGGGACGGCGTTAATGTTGACGGCCATTCCGCCACATTTCCCACCGCATCTTCCACCGCTTCTTTGGGCCGTGTCTTCTCCGGGTCTGGCTCGGGCCCGGCCTATGGCTGTGCTGTCTCGAGCAGGTTCACAGCTGTCGGACGGCTGCCCGAGCAGCCCGACAGAAACCTCTGTAAAGCTGCCCGCTGTCTCTTATTTTGTTCCTCTTCATTTTCTTTTTACATTTTGCTGCACCCCGAAAGCATCATGAAAGTTAGCTTATTAAGAAACACCTGCTAGCTTTGTTGTGTTGCGCTCTGTCTCTGACCGCTTCTCTGACATCCTTAATTGGGTGGCACCCAAGTTGTAAGCTACAGTCATGGGCTGGCGTTAATGTGACGTAGCTAATGTCTATGGTTAAGATAAACATTGTCACTATATTTAGTTAAGTAATAAATATTGAAATAAACTGTAGATAGGAGTCCAATCTACAAATTCTATCATAGGTCATTTGTACATTTGATTTTAATTTATTTATTTTTAATTTTGTCCCTCTGTCTGGGCCCCATCCAGCCAATCAGGCCCTAGGCACGTGCCTACTTTGCCTTTGTGTTAATCCGGCTCTGAACATGAGACTACAAAAGGAAGGCGGGGGGGGGGGGGGGATGCTGGGATCCTGTTTCCCACAGTGAGAGCAGCCATCTAAGGCGCTCATCTACTGTACAGTCACAGGTGGGAGGGAGATCTTGGGAGAAGCGAAGAGCACATTAACTCCTCCAGCTGATGACCTCACCAGGCTGAAGTCCACCAATCCGAAGGCCGGGGGGGTCGGGTTTTCACAGCATCTGTCTGCATTCCTTCGTGGGGGTTTTAGTTGCTTGCAGCTCAAGGCTACCAGGGCGTCAGATTCATATAACAAGAATATGTTTGGGTCAGGCTGGGATAATTTTCCTCTCTGCCTTCAGTCTTTAAACTGATCATTCCAGTCCTTCAGTGAAGCCAATTTTGGATTTTAAGCTTGTCCATCCCGTCCGGTGACTCTCTCCAAGATGACATCCATTTTGCGCACTAATACCGGTATCGCAGCTAGAACATTGTCCAGCTTATGATTCACCTCGAGTAACGTCCCAGTCTGAGAAGCCTCCACACGGACGGTGCTTTCCGTGGTTCCGGGTCGCCCTCCAATCGCTCCCGTCTTCCCAAATTTCCAGAAAACCAGATATCCTCCCTCTCCAATCAGGAGAAATCCAGTGATCATCAGACCAAATATCCACACGTCTTCCATGTCCTCAATGGACAGCTGGGAGAGGCATATGTCCTCCCACTCCTTCCAGGAATCCAAAATATATCCCACCGGGTGCGTCCCATGTGGACATGTGGCAGCCCCCTGCTCCGTTCTCATTGTTGAAAAAATCTCATCGATCACATTGAATGACCAGTTTATCAAATCCATGATTAGTAAAAAAAAATTGATTTTTTCAGAAGAAATGCAGAGAAGCGCTCTGTGGGCAGACATGACAGAGCCTTGGGAAAAAAAGATAAGGGAGCGAGAGAGGGATGCGTCTGTACTCCTCGAGTGACAGAAGAAGAATACCGTAAATCCTCTACTACCGGCCCGTGCCTGTATTTGACTCAAGCTCATCAAGCTCCAGGCCTTTATTTGAAGGAGGACCAGAATTAGAGGCAGGCCTCTATTTCTATTTGAGCAAAATGAACTAATGGGTCGCTGGAGTTTTTGACAATTAAAATTGCGCCCACATTTTCAAAGTTAAACACATTTCTTTTAACAACGGTAGTTTCTGCTTCAGCCCTCTCCCCCCTCCCCCAGCGCAGTGGCCGCAAACTCACTGATGCGCCTGCAGCCTCTCAGAGTTCCTGCTGCTCTAAACATTAAAATAGTTATTTTCTGTTCCTCACTTCTGATTACCTTCAATGGTGTCTGCGACCACCAGGTACAAAAACTAACTTGTTTTTATTTGACTATTTTTCTGTCTTGTCTGTTTATTATCTTCCTGCATCTCCTCTCAATCCTAAAGAGAAACTGCTACCTGCCTTCAAATATATTCACCTTATGAGTTACCGTTGAACTGCAGTTCTAAAAGATCTACCGACCGCAAAAACAGCGGAGTGCTTGCTGCTTGCCGGCCGCATCAGTGATCGGTGCGTCACCGAGAACAAAACAGGTTATGCGCCCCGCTCCACAGCAGCGAAACGCATCAGGCGCAAATAAAAGACAGACAACAAAGGAAATGAGCCGACATGAACGATCGCGTGTTAAATTAGTTTTTGAGGTGGCGACACCTAATTTGATAATGTTACTGTGGCCGTGCTCACGACGCAGATGTCTGGAGCGCGTCAACAATCAGAGCTTTGCATGCGCAAGCTGTTTAAGGTTAGGATGGGGGTGAGGGGAAGGTTAAACTGCAAGAGGGTAAACATCACAATTTGGTTAAATGTCCGTTTTACAGCGGGTGTCAGTACCGACGCTCTGGCACTGCGCGTTGCCCCCCGACGCGCAGGAGCTTGTCACCTGCTGACAGCAGGCTGCTGTCTTTCCCGAGGACTGCATCTTGCCGGTCATCATCACGTGACAGCGACTAGTCGATGACAGGCATAAAAAGTCACTATAGTGAAGTCGACTGGTTCATACAACCCCTACTATTGCTCCCCAGTGTTCTGCAGCATAATCAGCACGTTCTCTTTGAACGTGATATCAAATTTTCGCTGCCTCTTCGTCTCCGCACCTGCCAAATCGCGGTCTGTCATTAGCAAATCAAAAGCGAGATGGATGACACAAACCCCCCCCCCCCACCACCACCACCACCACCACCACCACCACCCCACCCCCGGTACTTGCTTGTTACCACATTCCACCCGGCCACAATAAAACACCGGCCATTATTCACCTGCGTCGACTCCGACACTGGCCAAAATGTGATACCCGGCCGTTAATTGAATACAGGCCAATATTAGAGGATTTACGGTATATGTATTATAATAATGTATTATAATTAGTTTAGAAAAATTAAATGTAAAATTTTTACTATATACTTGATGCTGTCTGAATTAATGCGAAGTGTGTTTATGGTCCCTGAACAAGCAAAGAATCCTAAACTCTTCTGTTTAAACATTCAAAGACCAATCAGGTTGATATTTGGAATCATCACATCTTGTGTAGATCCACTACAAAAGCATAATAAAATAATATTAGATTTTTTTATAATGAACAATATCTCATTTATGTGGCCTGCAAGGTCATTTGGGCCTTTATCTTGAAAAGTTTAGTCACCGCTGCTACTTTAATGTTGGTAAACTGCTTTTTCTTGCTGCAGTAAGGCTAAGCTTAGTGATCATAGAGATGCATTCAGGTAATCCCTTCCTCATCTGGCAAAGCAGAAGGTCCTTTAATAAAGAAAACAATCCTCTGTTGAAGAACAATAAGGAACCTGCTTGCTGTAGCAGCAGCAGCAGAATGTTCTAATTAATAGAAGATTCTAGAACCAATAGGACAAACCAATAGGGCGCGTGAGTGACATCATAAAGAATATTTTGTTTCCAGAGACTAAAAGGCTCACAAGCAGCACTTACTTCAGGTGGTCAGAGCTCTTGGTCTCATTTCTCTTTAAGGTTTCTGGGGGAAGCTGTTGCTGTTTTTCTCAGGTTAGTTATTCTATTCAGTTTATATCACCAAGTTATAGCACCAGTCATCTCAGCACACTTTCAAAGAGCAAACATTGCAAATGAACCTTTTGTATTAAACCGTGCCTTGAGTTCTGTTCATTATTGGCGACCTTATGCTGGGCGTTCCTCTGCTCCTAGACACGAATGAGTCTGAACTGACGTTCTTGATCAAAATGTGTTTGCAGATGTTCAATGAAAACTATCTTTTCTGCAAGCTGCTTTTATATTCTTCAGCTTGTCAATAAACGTCTTTTCTACGTTGATTTTCTCATCTTTTTCTTTGCTAAACATCACTTCTAGGTCCATTTGGTCTAAAACGAACGCCTTCTGTATTTTTAGTCCAGTTTTATATCAAAATACAGTTAATATTTTGCGTACATAGCCCGAAAAGAAGGGATTGAATTGATTTAAAGTTGAAAGAGTCTCCCAGGCAGGATCTAACACGTACGTGTAAATGTTCCCTTCGCTCATCATAAACTCCTCTTCCAGTTTTTTCTACAACACTCTGCTAAATGTTTCCTATTGGACGCATCTTTTTAGACTTTTCTGTGTGTAAATGTGCATCTGTTTGTCATCTAATAATCTAACAATTTATCTAACTAAGAAACTAGTAGGACCAAATAAGCGATTGCTTTAACCTGCTTCCTATTTCAAACACTTTTGTTTGTACAGATATGCACTTCTGACATTTTTCAGCTTTCATTGAGATAGCTCAGATTTGAGCTAAACTAAAATTAATCTAAAAGCTGAATAATTCATCTAATAAGTAATAACCTCTTACTTTATCTAACTAATAACTTCATAACTTATCTAAAGAGACACTGTATGATAGGAAAGCCAACAAATTATCTAATTAACTCCACTCACTTAGGAAAGCTATTGATCATCTTAAAACGTAATAAACGCATCAATACTACAAGTCATAGCTGCATGTCCTGAACAATCTAAGCACTTAGATACCAAATTTAAGGTAATTGCTGAAAAATTGTAGAATACGATGCTTTATAAGACTTCTGAGCATGTCTAAATTTGATTTCCCTTCCTAAAGGGGCTTACGTGGGTCTCCGGTGGACGGAGGCAGCCTGGCGTTTCTCAAAACTACAAACTGGGAAATCCAGCTTTGATTATTGGATTCAGTTTTTATTTCTCTCTTAAATATTTGACTTTCCACTTTCCATCAAGACTATCAGCCGTTGTTGAGGTCCAAAATGATCGACTCTGACCTCCCCGAGTTGGTTGATGTGGAAGAAGACGATCGACTCAACGTTAAAGTTCAAACTCGATTTAATGCACAATCTGCAGATAGTGGAGACCAACACAGTGCAGCATACAGCAAGTGCTCACGCCGTGTACTCAGAATGGTCTAACTCGAACAACTTGAGATGAAAAGTGTTTAAGTAGGTTTCTGGCTCTTCCCCCTAGGGTGTGTCTTCTTGTGATAGGTTGAGGAGCGCGTGATCGGCGCATGCTCTTGTTTCTGATTGGGTGCTGAGTGCAATGCTTGAGCCGTGAGTGTTGCTTGTTTGCTCTAGGCTTCACTTCCTCCAGGTGTGGCTCATGTGGTTGAATGTTGTCCTGGCCGCTGGAACTAGTTTCCGTGTCTGTGTGTGCTTACTTTGACTGTTGTCAGGGTGAGTCAGACCATGCTTTGCACTCACATGGGCGTCTCGACAAAAGGTCATATCAGGACATTGTTAGTTGTACATGTATGTTTCACAACAGGTTCGTTATAAGATAAAGCACTACATAGCATGTAAACGCAATGAATATAAACCCGTCATTTTTCCACAGTCTGTAGTTGGCTGAAAAAAACTCCCGAAAAGATCTCAATCTTCGAACGATAGCATCCACAATCCCGTTCGACACTTTTTCATCTTTTGATTTGACCACATCTGCGAGGCTAGCAAATGATTCTGTCCTTCGAAGATCGGAGCAAACTTTATTAGCAAATCTTTCGGTCGACTTTGGGTTATTAGGAAGGTTTTTTATTACGCCAAGTTTACACAGGATATTATTCACTAGACGATCGAAGAAACCCGTGTCCCCTTCTGAAAGTTGATTCTTAATATTGATGGCTTTGACAATTAGAAAAATCCGGTGAATTATTGACCAAATAACTGAGTGGATAAAATATTTTTTTTTTTGTTGTTGCTCGATGTCTGGTTTTTGAAACGTGTGACCGTTTTTTGTACTGAGGTGATGCACTTTCGTAATCATTCTGTTGTACGAAACGCTGTTAAAATAGAGACAAACTATGTGTCTTCGACAAAGGTAACCTCTTCTGACATATTAACTGTCTGTGCTGTTGATGAAGCTGATGAACTCTTTAAGATGTCATCAGATCAAAGGACACTTAAGCTCCGCCCCCAACAGTTCTGCACTACTACTGCTTCTACTGCTAGTACTACAACTACTTCTACCACCACTACCACTATCACACTACTACTACAACTACTACTACTACTTACATGAAAAAGTAAAGTTAAGAACACTAAAGAAAATATTGTGGATATAATTAATTAATCAACTATTTTTTTATTAATTAATCAATTAGTCAATTTAATTAAACTTCTTTACTTCTTTATAAGTAGTAGTGGAATTTATTTTAATTTATTTATTATTATTTTTTTACTTTCTTTTCATTAACTTTCTCAATTATAAACACAACAACAACAACAACAACATCACCTAGGAAGCTTTAGTAGTAGTAGTATTTTTAATTAATAAATTAATTAAATTATAAAACAAATCTATGTTAATTAGAAACATTTACCAGCTTATGTTTGTAGTTTCTAATCAAACATGTCAGATATAATAAAATAAAACACAATTAGAAACCATTTGTAAAAAAGCTAAATATTTGTACAGAGTAAATGATTGATCGCAAACAGCTGATTTAATTTGATAAGCATATTTAATCAGATAAATAAATAAAAAAATTCATATGGGTTGAAGGCAAAATTGAAGATAATTTAAATGTAACACCTACATTTGAAAATAACAAATGAAGGTAGAAGAAACATTTACAGACAGTGGGCTATTTAACCCTGAACGTCATTTTAGTGAAATATATTTTCTGTAGGAATTGGCCACCTGTGTGCTAGAAGCTTATTTATTCGAAAGAGATAACGTGACATAAATGTCTGCAGTGAAAAGTTTTTTCCACATTTTATCAATTTCTTTGACATGTTCTGCTCATAATAATTAACATTGTGGGTTTTTTTTACACACCTAAGTGTGATTAGAGCATCTAATTAGCCTCTGAAAATTTTCATCTGCCTTATTATCACTTTGTTTTATCTGCCAGACTAATGCATCACCTTACAAAACCTAATGGTACACACACACACACACACACACACACACACACACACACACACACAGACACGCTGTTTGTGCTGTTTTTCAATCGCCCAAACAAGACGGGACCAGCTGTCCAATTGCTGTCAAGAAAATCAAAGGGTAGGAATGGGAATGTATCCAATCAGCGTCGACGTTGTTTCAGAACGTTTCAGAAGCATGATGGGCGATAGAGCTACTGCCAAGGCTTTCGTTGGTGTTCGGTAGAACTCGGAGAGTCTCGACTCCAGCACGTTTTTGGTCGTGACTCGTGACGCACATGGAGCAGACGCAGACATGGACGCCAGTGAGCCTACAACCAGGATACCGGATCTCAGCAGCCACTGAATTCAGTTCGGTCTCTTCTCCAGTATCCGTTCGAGAGGAGAACTATGGTGGAAAAACTTAATGTCAAAGAGCTTGGACCAGATCAGCCCGACGTAAAGATAAGCCAGCAGGACAAGGAGAGAGGTAAACTGTACACACGACGCTTCTCCCAAAATTGGTACACCAGGAAGCAGTGGCTAGCTGGATGCAATCACGCTAATGCGTTATTTTGCTTTCTGTGTTTGTTATTCAAAACGGCTGGGATCCACAGTAATGTGGATGTGGAACTTGTGTCTCATTGGGGACTCCATTCATTCTCTGACTGAGGAATGCAGCGCATCAGTGCAGCAGCCAACAAAGAAACGGAGGACGTTTGGACAGGGAGAACAGCAGCTGGGTGCAGAGGTAAGCTGTACATTACATTTCTGTAAACAAGACAATCAGAATCAGAAATCCTTGGTTGTCCCACAAACCGGGACATTTGTTTAATAACATGTACATTGTTTAATGTGCAATAACTGTAAAAACTAATTTCAACACACATACCTATTATACATATTTAATCATGTAAATGTGTATTTCAAGTAAATTTGTACATACATCAATCTGATTCCATTTTACTTGTTACACTTCTGCTGCAGCAAACAAATTTCCCAGCTTTTGGGACAATAAAACATTTCTGATTTGTCCCAAAAAGTGGGAAATATGACATTTGTAAGAGGATACTGATGACATTATTTCCTATGAAAGTGTTTCCATTTTCCATAAGTCCTAACAGTGTACATTTCTGGCATTTTGTCTAAGTAGTGTTTACTACCATTACTGTAACAGTGACCTGCTCATAATTTTTCGTGTTCACTCAAATGTTAAAATTAAACAAAATGTTTTTGTTACTTGCCTCTTGCATTGCCTGTTTACCATTTATGGTGATGTTATTTTATGTGCAATTTAATGCAGTATTTTTCAACCTTGGTCCGCAAGGCAGCGTGCCAATAGTCAGACACACCTGGATTAATCAGTTTGTCCAATAATGTAAGACGGAAATAAAAGAGCTGTGCTTAATTCAGGAAATAGTAAAGTTGTGCACAAAGCTCAGAAAGCACAAGTTTGTTTAAAAAAAATAGCACAGCCCCACCAAAAATATTTTTCACCAGCCGCCACTGACCAGCTCGCCTACTGTCCTGAACCGGAGAACCTGGAGGACCTAATCAGTCTTGCGGTATGGATAGAGAAAAGGTTTAAGACTCGACTACCATGTTCCTAGCAGTGTTTCCAGCCACCTCAGCCCAACCGGACGATCCACTCGCAACCACCTGTCAACCCAGCCTCGGCCCCAATCAACCAGGAGGAGCCCATGCAGATAGGCCGGGCCGGGCTGACTCCAGAGGAGAAGTAGCGTCGGATCACCTCTCGGCTGTGTCTTTATTGTGGTCTGTCCAGACATTTCCTGATCAACTGCCCCGTTCGTCCAAAAGGAAGAGCCCACCAATAGGACTGGGAGTATTGGTGGGTGGAAACCTTGATTCTAAAAATTCTCGGTGCCTGTTAACCTGTTCCATCCTTTTTAACCAGCAGAGTGTTCCCGCTAAAGCCCTAGTGGACTCCAGGTGCGAGAGGAACCTGCTTGACCTGAACATCGTGGACCAACTTAAAATCCCCACGACGCCCCTGTCCAACCCCATCAGAGTCTCATCGCTGGACGACAGCTCCTTAACCACTATTACTCACCAAACAGTACCCATCAAGCTGCAGGTTTCGGGTAACCACCATGAAATATTGTCATTTTTTGTTTTTCCCTCACCCCAATCACCTATTGTCCTGGGGCATGACTGGCTCACTACACACAACCCTCACATTGATTGGAGGACCATCCAGATAATTTCTTGAAGTCCGTTTTGCCTCTCTCACTGTCTCTTATCTGCTAACCTGTCCTCCCAGGCTCCGGCACCCGTACCCCCCACTCCTCCTGACCTGTCTCTAATACCCCCTGAATACCACGACCTGCAAGCTGTTTTCTGTAAGGACCGAGCAGCCTCACTACCACCTCATCGACCGTACGACTGCTGCATCGACCTCCTCCAAGGAGCCACTCTATCTTCCAGCAGACTGTATAACCTGTCCAAGCCTGAACGAGAGTGCATGGCCACCTATATCTCTGAGTCCTTGGCTGCAGGCATTATTCGCCCATCCACTTCTCCACTTGGAGCAGGCTTCTTCTTTGTGTCTAAGAAGGATGGATCCCTGCGACCCTAGATTGATTACAGAGGGCTCAACCAAATTACGGTAAAAAACAAATATCCATTACCCCTGCTCTCTTCAACTTTTGACCCAGTCCAGAATGCAACCATTTTCACTAAACTGGACCTACAAAACGCCTACCACCTCGTCAGGATCCGGGAGGGAGATGAGTGGAAGACGGCCTTCAAGACTCCCCTGGGTCATTTCGAGTATCTCATCATGCCCTTCAGCCTTACCAACGCGCCCGCCGTCTTTCAATCCCTGGTAAACTCCATTCTAAGTGACTACATAGATAAATTTGTTACCGTATACTTGGATGACATATTGATCTTCTCCAACACCCCATCTGAGCACTACCAACATGTCTGAGCAGTCCTGCAATGCCTCCTTGAAAACCGCCTTTTTGTCAAAGCGGAAAAGTGCGAGTTCCATGCCCCTTCAGTCAAGTTCCTGGGTTTCAATCTGGAGAGTGGGCGCTTATGGACGGATCCCGAGAAGGTGGAAGCAGTTTGAGAATGGCCGACCCCTGCCACTCGCAAGCAGTTGCAGCGGTTCCTCGGCTTCGCCAACTTCTACAGGCGTTTTATTCACGGCTACAGTGAAGTGGCCTCACCCCTCACCCAGTTGACCTCCACTAAACACCCCTTTGTCTGGTCCGAGGCCGCAAACAACGCCTTTCTTGAGTTGAAGGACCGTTTCACTCAAGCCCCATCCTCTCTCGCCCTGACCCTGCTCGCCAGTTTACCCTTGAAGTGGATGCTTCCGATTCGGATGTGGGTGCCGTTCTCTCCCAAATCTCCCTCTCTGATTACCAACTCCATCCCTGTGCCTTTTTCTCTAGAAAACTGACCCTGGCGGAGCAAAACTATGATGTGGGCGACCGAGAACTGCTAGCGGTGAAGTTGGCTCTTGAGGAGTGGCGCCATTGGCTGGAGGGAGCTGAGCACCCCATAGTGATCTGGACTGACCATAAGAACCTTGCCTATCTCAAGGAGGCTAAAAGACTAAACCCCAGGCAATCCAGCTGGTCTCTGTTCTTCATCCGGTTCAATTTTGTCATCTCCTTTCGACCAGGCACAAAGAACGTCAAACCCGACGCCCTGTCCCGACAATATGCATCCGACAAGGATCAAGAACCTGCAACCATCCTTCCCTCATCCTGTGTGCTCGGGGCAGTCACCTGAGAGATCACACAGAAGGTCCTGGATGCCCAAGGAATGGACCCTGGCCCAGGTAAGGGACCGCCCCACAAGCTCTATGTGCCCCAGCAGGTCCAAGGTGCTGTAATCCACTGGGCCCACACAACTCGATTCTCTGTCCACCCAGGAGTGGCCCGCACCCTCGCCCTGATCCGCCGGTCCTTCTGGTGGCCATCCATGTTCCAGGACATTAAGGAGTATGTCAAGGCTTGTCAGGTCTGTGCCCATAATAAATCAGAGAACCAGCCTCCCACCGGACTACTCCGTCCCCTTTCCATTCCCTCTCGTCCTTGGTCTCACATTGCCCTCGATTTTGTCACCGGTCTACCCCCCTCTAAAGGATTCTCAGTCATACTTACCATCATTGACAGATTCTCTAAGGCTTGTCACTTCATCCCACTAAAGTCTCTGCCTTCCTCCTCAGTAACCGCTGAACTTCTGATCAAGCACGTTTTCCGACTTCACGGCATCCCGGACGAGATCTTGTCTGACCGAGGCCCCCAGTTCCTCTCGAGAATCTGGAAAGAGTTTGCTGCCTCCCTGGGAGCCACGGTTTCTCTGAGCTCCGGCTACCACCCCCAAACTAACAGCCAATGTGAGCGGCTCAACCAGGAGCTCGAAGCCATGCTCCGCTGTGTGTGCTCCTCCAGTCTTTCCAGCTGGAGCACCCAACTCCCCTGGATTGAGTATGCCCACAACACCCACACTTCCTCAGCTACAGGTCAGTCACCTTTCGAATCGTCTCTGGGCTATCAACCCCCACTTTTCCCTTCAGATCTTCCTCCCGCTGTCACTATACCCCAGTTTATTCGCAGAGCAAAAAGGATGTGGACCCAGACCCGTGCGGCCCTCCAGCGAACGGCTGATCGCAACCGACGGTTGGCAGACCGCCACCGTCATCCCGCTCCTCCGTACACTTGTGGGCAACAGGTCTGGCTGTCCACCAGAGACATTAAGTTGAAGGACACTAGCAAGAAGCTCACTCCCTGGTTTATTGGTCCCTACTCCATCAGCAAAGTCATCAACCCTTGGTCGGTCCGTCTCTCGCTGCCCTCCTCCCTGAAGGTTCACCCTGTTTTTCACGTCTCCCTCCTTAAGCCCGTCTCATCGATTCCATTGTGTCCTTCTCCAGCCCCTGCTCCTCCTCCTGTTCATCTGTCTAACGACGATCTTGGTTATTGTGTCCAGCGCCTCCTTGAGGCCAGACCCCGTGGTCGGGGCCGCCAGTTCTTGGTTGATTGGGTGGGTTATGGTCCGGAACATCGGCAACGGATCCCAGCATCTTGGATCGACAACCCGTCCCTCGTCCGGGACTTTGATGCAGCGCAGGCTTCCTCCTCCTCCTCCTCCTCCTCCTCCTCCTCCTCCTCCTCCTCCTCCTCCTCCTCCTCCTCTGCTTGGCCACCGGGTGGCGGCCTTTGAGCTGGGGTTACTGTCACAATGGGTGTAGCTAACCTCTCCATGCGTTTTCCTGTTTGCAGGTGGGCGCGCCCGGAGAGCAGCTGCTGCGAATTCCCTCATCAGCTCGCAGGAGATTTAAGGAGCGGTGTGACAACTCACCAGTGCCGGATGATTACTCGCATTGGGTAGCATACACCAGCTCTAGACCTGTTTCTAGTTGTTTGCATGCTGTTCTGCCTGTTAAAGCCTCGTCATCACCTGTCCCGTTTCCTCCGTTCTCCCGCTCTCATCATCTGCCTGTTACCAGCTCGTCAACCTGCACTCTCACCTGTTACAACAAGGCGTCTCCGGATCTCCTGTCCACCCGCCACACCACTTCTCCCTTTGGCCCTCTGCTCTCCTGCGCTCACCGGCCCACTCCTGGAACCGGTGCTCAGCTCCCAGCCTCCTCCAACAGCTACCACTCAGACCTGACACGCCCCCCTCTCAGCGCTCCACTACCTTACTGGAATCCAACGCTGCCAGAACCGCCCTCCTCCGACGTCTCCCCAGCCTCGTCAAACTCAA